TCTACTCGAGGTTGCAAAACAAATCTTGGAAGTTTAGAGATAGTACAATGTTTGCTGACTTAAGAACGTCCCGATTTTTTGTAGATAGCGCTGTCATTAGCACACCGTTACCGATCGATGGAATAGCTTTGTCGCCGTTGTCTCTGGGGCACAGAAAAGTTTTTTTCTCTACTGTTGGTGGTTTAGATTTGTACAGTATCAATACAGATATTCTCAAAAACGAGTCTTCAATCAGCAATGGTTTATGGAGGTAAGAGTAAATTATATATGTTTAAAGCTTTCAGCAAAAGCTATTTTAGCTCTAATTAATTAAAAGTCAAATATTATGGCGTTGGAACACAAATTAGTAAAACCTTTTGCATTTAAATCGGTATCTTCTCTTCTTCCTATGCCGTCCCCATTAACGGAGGTTGGCGACCACATTTTTAAAAGCTTCTCTGTCTTTTGCAACGTGGAATAATTCGTCTACAGTCATGTTTGTCCAGTCTCGAATATTTCGCAGCCATGACTTCCTCTTTCTACCTATTCCCTTTTTGCCATCGACTCTACCCTGCATGATGACCTGCAGAAGACTATATTTATTATTTCTTAGTATGTGTCCAAGGTATGCAGTCTTGCGTACTTTTATCGTTCTCAACAATTTTTTGACTCGACCCATTCTTCTCAGCACTTCCTCATTGGTGACCCTGGCAGTCCATGGGATTCTCAACATTCTCCGGTATATCCAAAGTTCAAAGGCTTCAATCTTTTTAACTATTTGCGCTTTTAGTGTCCATGTTTCTACCCCGTACAATAATTGCGACCAGACGTAACATTCAACAAACCTCAGTCTCAGCGCAATATTCAGATTTTTGTCACAGAACAATTGTTTGAATTTTAAGAACGCTGCCCTTGCCATTTCTATTCGTACCCGGATCTCTTGGTCTGGATCTAATTCTGTGTTGATGTAAGCTCCCAGATATTTATATTTTGTCACTCTCTCTATTTGCTGTCCACCAAGAGTTAGTTGTTCATTATTTATTGGACTCCTTGATACTATCATAAATTTGGTCTTATCTGTGTTGATGTCAAGTCCCATTTGAATGCATTCACTATTTATTGCATCTAGTAAAGTTTGTAGATCTTCTATACTCTCAGCCATAATTACCGTGTCATCTGCAAATCTCATGGTGTTTATGATTTCTCCACCAATTCTTATTCCCTCTTTTCTTTCCCATAAGGCTTTTCTGAATATGACCTGTGAGTACACGTTGAAAAGCGTCGGAGACAAGACGCATCCTTGCCTAACCCCTCTCGCAATCGGTATATTATTTGTTTCTATATCGTTCACCTTTACTACTGCTTTCTGGTTCCAGTATATAGCCTTAATAAACTCAATGTCTTTTTTGTCTAAATTGATGTTTTTTTAATTCATCTATTAACTTCATATGCTGCACTCGGTCAAAGGCCTTCCTAAAGTCTATGAAGCATACATATGCACTCTTGTTATATTCCCGACATTTCTGCAAGAGTACCGTCAACTGCAAATAATGCCTCTCTTGTACCCATGCTTCCTTTGAAGCCTAAACTGAGTTTCATCTATCTGTTCCTCACATTTCTTATAAATTCGGTTTTGAACAATTTTCAAAAGAATCTTTAAAGGGTGGCACATTAGGCTTATCAATCTATAGTCATTACATGATTTGGGATTGTTGTTTTTTTGGTAGAGGGTAAAAATATCGATTTAAGCCATTCTTCCGGGATGTTGCCCTCTACATATATGTGGTTTGAGAATTCGGGTGAGTCTCTTTATATTACCGTCATCTAAGGCTTTTAACAGTTCAACTGGAATTTGATCAGGACCCGGTGCTTTCCTTGTTTTGCATTCTGTAGGGCATTCTTTACTTCTGAGGGTAAAATCGGTATCAACAGAGCGATATATTTGTTATTTTTGTGTTCCTACTTCTTCAGTCACTCGGGCTGATACCAATTCAAACTCGGAAGCTCCAACTAATGTTCTAAAATATTTACCATTTCAATGGTTCAGAAGTGCCATCTTTCTTGATGATGATGCACAAAAGCGATTTAATAAAACTGTTTTCCATTTTTAGATTTAACTCTGTTCTTATAAAGTTCTTCTAGCATCAATAATTCTCATAATAACAAAATTACAGTAATTACATAGTAATTACAAAAACGATTCTACATCAGTTATCAATGCAAGCATGCGGTAAAGGGTGTAAGAGGTTTAATCCCTGTAAAGTGAAATGTACATAAAAAATGCTGTTTTAACTGTTTATACCAAAGTAAGGCGGAGGTTATCAACATGGTTTTCGCCTGGAGGATGATACAAGAACCAAATAGATTTTATTATTGTCACTTAACGATGGAGAAGAACAATAATCCACGTGAAGATAAAACCAGCTGCAGACTGTGGTTACGACCACAAAATGTTACAAGCAGAATATCCTAACCGCCAAGATTCTAGATAACTTTTCTTAAAAATCAAGTATCTAGTGAGAGAATTCAAACCGCAGACACAGATCATCAAAGATAATAGTGGAAATACCACAACAAACCCATACAGTATCGCACAGGTGTGGAAACAATATTCTTCTTCTTCTTCTTCAGCCCTGTGTTCGTCTACTGCTGGTCATAGGCCTCTTCCATTTGCTTCCATCGATTTCTACTTTTGGCAATTCTCATCCACTGCTTGCCCGCGACTTGTTTGATATCGTCTGTCCACCTCTTCTGCGGTCTGCCTACTCCTCGCCTGTTCTCTCTTGGTCTCCAGTTTGTTAATCTTTGTGTCCATTTTTCGGGATTATCTCGGGCAACGTGTCCGACCCATTGCCACTTGAGCCTTGCAATACGTTCTGAGACATCAGTAATTTTTGTTCTTTCACGAATGACGTTATTTCGAATCCTGTCTCTCAAACTAATCCCTAGCATGGCCCTCTCCATTGCTCTTTAGGTTGTACTGAGCTGCTCTAAGGTTTTCTTTGTGAAGGCCATGGTCTCCAGTCCATATGTAGTTACAGTCAAGATACATTTGTCATAAACTCTACGTTTTAGACACATTGGTATATCTTTATTCTTCAAAATAAAGCTTAATTTGCCGAAAGGTCCCCAAGACAGTTGTATGCGTCTTTTTATTTCGGCTATTTGATTTTCTTTGCCGATTTTAATGGTATGTCCAAGATATATATAGTGGTCTACATTTTCAAGACTGATGTTGTCAATAACAAGATTAGTTTGTAAATTACTTATTATTTTTGTTTTCAGAAGGTTCATTTTGAGACCTATTTTATTTGACTGCTGGTTTAATTCCTTCAACATTTGCTCCAGTTCCTTGATATCTGTACTAAATAATACTATGTCATCCGCAAACCTCAAATGACTCAAACGTACACCATCAATGTTTAGACCTTTTTCCTCCCAGTCAAGCTGTTTGAATACATTTTCCAATTCTAAGGTAAAAAGCTTTGGTGAAATAGTATCACCTTGTCTAATACCTTTATCAAGGCGCATTTTTTCAGTTTTTTTGTCTTCATTGATTTTGATGTGGAATTTGGCCTGTTCATAAATGTTTTTAATGAGTGTAGTGTACAGTGAGTCTATTCGAGCATCCTTCAGGGCTGACAAAAGGACCAAGTTTCAATACTATCGAAAGCCTTGTGAAAGTCGATAAATGCCATATGTAAAGGTACATTATATTCTGTGGTTTTTTCTACTAGTGTTCTGATGGTTTGTAAGTGATCATTAGCACCAAAACCCTTTTCTAAATCCCGCCTGTTCAACCGGTTGATATAAATCAAGTTTTTTGGTGTTATGCGGTTGGTTATTATTCTTGTTAAGAATTTGTATAAGTGTGACAACAAACTTATAGGTCTGTAGTTTTCAATATTAGTAGTGTCTCCTTTCTTGTGTAAAAGTATTATTTCTGGCGTTTTCCCATAGGCTGGGTATTCTTTTTTCTGTTAGACACTTATTCAGTAAGACTTCCACAACTTCTACAACGATGTTGCCGCCCATTTTTAACATTTCAGACGTTATACGATCCTCGCCAGGAGCTTTTTTGTTTTTTATTTGCTGTAAGGCATGTCTAATTTCCGAAGAGGTTATTTTAGGGAGGGTTTCCGAGCCGACGTTTAGAATTGTTCTGTGGTCTGTTTCGGGGTTCTGTATAGTAGAGGTATAAAGATTCTTATAGAACGTTTGTATTTCCTTGATTATTTGAGTTTTTTTCGGTCACCGTATTCCCCTGTTGATTTTTAATTTTAGTTATCTTTGATTTTCCTTTAGTTAAATTTGATTTCAATACTCTCATGTTTCTATTGTTTTCGATGGTTTGCAATATTTGTTTTGTTTTATAAGCCCGCAAGTCTGATCTTATGCTCTTTTTAACTTTATTGTTGATAGCTTTATACTCTGGTAATTCTTTCGATGTTCTTCTTCTTTCTTCCATTAAAATTAAGTGTTGTTTGTTTCAGTTTCGTTTTTCTGGGATTTTTATTTTTATCACAGATCTTTTTTGCAGTTGATGTTATGTCATTCGGTAATTTTTGTGTTATTTCATTTATATCTTTCGTGTTGAATACTGGTAGAGGTCCTAGTTTCTTTTTTAGTTCACTTTGATATTCCTCTTGATTCATTTCGAGTGCTTCTATGTTTGGCAATTTATCCTGTGTTAATAATTTTCTTCTATAATGTTGCGCTTCACAATATTGCGAAATACTATTTACTAACAATTACCCAGACAATAATACAGAGAAAAGAAATTATGAAAAAGAACTCATGAAAAATTTCAAACATACTTTTCTTGAAAACCTGACGTGCTGAAAAAAAAAAGTACATATTCGTTATCAGCACATTCCCATTTACTAAAGGACACCTATTAAACTTAAAACACTTTTTCATAAAAAAAAATGTAGGCCTGTGTATTGGTAATGTTCATGTAAATGTTATTATATGCAATATATTTCTGTATTATACATTTTTTAGATATGGTGTTAGTTTAGTGGGAAAAAAACAAGGACACACTGACGGAATGATGATCGACACAGACAACACCCTATACTACACCTTGATAGATCTATACGGTATCGGAAAATGGAACTTTGACGACAATTTTGATTCCTCCGAAGTTATTTATCGGAACAGAACTTCGGTAATTTGGGCCGACAGTATTGCTATGGACCAGCAAGGATTTTTGTACTTTACCGCAAGTTCCGCTCATAGATATTTATTCCCAACAACCGAGCTGCAATTAACTCCAGCTATTAGTTTTAGAATTTTTAGAATGTACACTGGGACGAAGAGTTACTTATTTTAAAATTATTATTTTTATTTGTTATTTATTTACATATTGTACTTCGACAACTGTGGCCATTGGTACAGGAATACTAACTGTAGGTATATATATTAAATAACGAAAACCAATAATAAATATATAACTGTAATTAATGTCTATTAAATTCAATCTTGTTCAATGGACACTTTTCTATTCTATTTGATCGTATGGTTCCTACGTAACCTATTCCCTTTTAATTTAAAAAAATAATTAGTTTCATAGAGGTGAAATAATTATCAGCATATAAACAATGAGGCAGAACCCTATCGCATTGTATTTTAGGAATAAGTTCGATAAGCACGATTTATACCCAAAGCGTATGGGCTTGCCTTTTATGTGTTGTTCTTGTTTCAAGGTATGCAGAAATTTTGTATGTTTTGTCTGAACATCTATGTTTAGGTTATCGTTAAAATGGAGAAATCTTATAATCGTTTCAAATCGGTTACGAAGCATATTACTTGAAATCCGTATATTTTTAACGACATCAGATTCTTCCCAGTACATGCGTCTTCTTGGATTCGTGTTGTACCCACTAAGTAGTAAAATTCCTATAAAGGCTTTTAACTAGTCTACTCCAAATTCTAAAGTGGTACCTTTTTGAAAAGCATAACGAACTGTCTCCTTTACAATATATGTTAAAAGCTCTTCATTGAAAAAAAAATCAAAGATTTGTAAAGAAGTGAATGGTCGTGAATAAAATGAAGAAAGTGTATGTGTTCCATTGAGTTTTTTTATTTTCAATATCCAAATAAAGGGAATTTTCATCTGGTAAATCTTCCTGAATCCATTTCTGTGGTAGCAGTAGAGTTACACTTTTTTCACGAATCTCAGTAGATACCACTTGAATATCTTGATTTTCTTCATTTTGTGTCTCTATTTCTGTTTCCATCTCAACCTCTTCCGTATCTTCTTCTTCTCACATTTTGAAGACCACCCTCTTTTTATATAGATTTATATTTTCTTCGTCGATACTTCTTTCTTCTTTTTGATGAATTACAGCTTCTGATTCCGCATCCAACATATTTTTGTTTAGGTTATTGAATGTTCCTCCACAGTCTTCATCTTCACTATCTTCATCAGTCAATTCAGTGGGGTCAGGAGGTGCTAGGAAACATCTGCACTGGAAGCCGACTCCATAAGATTCGATTCTTCCATCATGGACATAATTTTATGTGCTCTTGATTCGTAAAAAATTTTTTAGGACGACTATTATTACTATTACGACCGAAACTGGTCGAGCCAAGTGGATTTGACATCTTATTTTCACCTTCTAGAACAAAAATTATTTTTTGTACTAATAATATGCCTTGTGCCCAATGTTGCGAAAACGCAACACTGATAATTAGGCAGTTGTACCAACTAGTACAGATAAAATAATAGCACTTACTTAATAGATATATCCTCTTCAGTGATTTAACAATACGTTGCTGTCAAAAACCAAATATTTATCCAGTTAATTTGTACACAAACGACTGACTACTAACTAAAAACACGTGTTTACAGAAGTCAAAATTAATCTACCACTTTCAATACGCCATCTGTCAATAGAAACCTAAATTTTGCGACCAATTCCAACTTAAACATACATAGGAAACTGTTGTGAAATAAATCTGAACCTTGGCTGCCCGAATAAGTCATGTCATTTTTCAAAACATGACGTTATAGTGGGCTATGTCAACTGTTGCAAAACGCAACGCTGGGCATGAATGGGTTTATGGATGCTTCTCTTCTAATTAGTAAGTCTTGGGAGAGATGATCAATAAATGGTTGCAGTTCATGAAGAGACATTTTGTTTTATTGCCTTAATTTTTTTAAGTATAATAATTAAGGGGAATATATTAAAGGAGAGCATTAGATTGTAGAATAATTTTTAAAATAAAAATCTTTTTCATAAGCAGTCTCGTTATTTAATAGCCAGACCTCGTATTGTCGAACCAATCAAATACACTGCTCAAAATGATCAAATCTTATTAAAAGTCGTATCGGTTTTTTTGGAAACAGTTTATATGTACGAAAACTGCATAAAATTCACCCAAATTTACCCAAGTTGACCCCTTTCTCAAAACAGATCCCTTTAAATGGTAGCACTCTATAGTTTTTTCATATTTGGGCGCCCATTGATCATTGACCATATAAAATAATAAACCCTCTTTAACGTTGTAATTCCTTTCTAAAGTACAAAATCAATAGCCTAAATTAGGGATGCCTAATTAAATTTTTGAACGCATCTATCCGAAACAAATTCGTACGTACTTTTTATCAATTCAACTAAACCACTACAAAAAATAACACATATTGATTCAAGTGTATGCTATTACCCAATTGTATCTTGATAGAGTGCAAAAATGATTAACAAATTGACATAGTCGAGGCAAGTTGCTGGAAAACTTAAAATATACCACGTAAATACAGCGCTACTTTCATTATTCAATTGTGCATTGTTATTCTGCTTCAATTTAGTTGCATGTAAACATTCCACTGTAAGTTCAAAACGATATTTTAATACATACAACTAAAAGCAAAGTCGTAGCTATGGTGAGTATATTATTTTTAAATTATTTTTACTAAATAGATTATTAATGTTTGTTTATGTACTCATCTAAATAAATATAAACAAAATAGTTATTTCTCTACATACACTATTTCAAAGTTTATTTTGTCTAGACGCTCTGTTTAATCACAGTACTAACAAACTGCTAATAAAAACTCGCTAACGATAATTTTAGTTATTTTGACATGTTGCCTGGCATCTTTCGCGAATTAAATTTTGACAGTTAAATCACAAGACGTCATTTAAGTGATTTTAACAAAGTTTCATAAGCGAAAATCGCCAAAAGGCAACAAAGTTACATTATATAAACTCATCATAAACTTTTTAGATATCACTGATGATGGTATAAAGCATACCGAAATATATTGGATTACTGAATGCCATTACATTAAATATTTTTTTTTATTCTATTTATCCGCATCAACCACTGGGGTTATTAGCGGTAGGTTTATAATACAAATAGAGAAAATAAAGTACATCTTAAAAGTCATGACTTACAACAATATGGCACATGTAACAAAGTACATGTATATGTACATGTAACAAAAATTAAATAATAATTTATTATAGTTACAGTAATTTAAAAAAAAAAAGACAGAACTTCATTGAATTTTGTAACCAGTGCTTCTTTCAGGTGTTGGATATCTTAAATATCGCCTTGGCTTAGGTGTACTCTGGACATTCTATTATTATATGGTTGACTGTGAAAGGCATTTGCGTCTTTGGCACATTGTAGTGTTCTTTGGAGATTATGTAGCCGTGCTTAAGTCGTGTATGCCCAAGCCGGAGTCTGCTGATAATTACCTGGTCTCTTCGTTTGGTGGTATAGAAAGATTTTTGAAGATACGTCTGGTTTGATGCTTTTAAGATTTGTGTTTGTTTGATCCCATATTTCTTGCCAGATTTTATTTACATAACTCTTGAATAAAGTTTTAGTATCGAATATTGGTATACCTGTTGTAGTCGGAATGTTCACATTATTTATTGCTTCAAACGCTGTTTGTCTGCTAACTTATTACCAGTTATTCCGACATGTGATAGGACCCACATAAATGATATGGTTTTCCCAGAAAATTGGAGCTGTTGCAACGCGTCTTTAATTAGAAATAGATTGATGTGTGTAGGATAAACATATTTAATGCCTGTAAAGAACTTATGTATCTATAATATGTATTTTTTGTTTCATTTGTGGATTTACAATAATTTGGTGCGTCAAGTATTGCTTGGAGCTCTGCCGTATAAATACTACAGCCGTCAGTTAATCTAGTGGCAGAAATTTCGTTTTCTGATACAGTAGCAGCTGCTACTCTCCGTTGCAATCTTTGGAGGCATCAGTGAGAACAATTTGTAAGTGGAATATTCTGATGTACAATTTGTCAATGATACATGAAAGCCTGATCTCAGCAGAAATGTGTGAATGCTTATCATGATTAAGTAAAGAGGGGTCTACTATTGGTAAAGAAACTGTCCAGGGAGGTGTCTGATATATTTTTATGGGTACCAAGATCATTTGATTGATATAATATAGTAGTCTTTTAACTCGTTCGTAAAATGGTACTGTCTTGGTGGTGTAATTTGTGTATTGTTCTAGTGATTCTTCCGATACTAAACTTGCGAAAAAGGGATGATCCTTTTGCGCTTAGAATTTTTGAAGCGTAGCATAGTGATATATATTGTCTTCTGAGGTATAGTGGCATTTCTCCTGCTAGCACTTGAAGGCTTCTTATTGGAGTAGTTGTAAAGGCTCCAAAGATTAGTCGTAGAGATATGGTTTGAATAACATCCAGTTTTTTTAGTTGATTTTCATTTGCTGTTTCATAACAGTCCGTAGTCGAGTTTGCTTCTTATTATTGTTCTGATATAAATTTAGAAGAATTTTAGTATCTGAACCCCATTCATGATTGGATAAAACTCTTAGTAAGTTTATTCTTTGTTGACAGGATTTGATCAAATTGTTGATATGTGAAGTCCATGGGAGTTGTGAGTCAAATTTACACTCAAAAATCTAATTTTGCGGACTTGTTTCCAAAGAATGACCATTTAAATATAAATTTAAGTTGTATTCTGCTCTTCTTTTGTCAAACATATTACTTTAGTCTTCTCAGTAGAAAAGGTAAACCAGTCTCTAAAGACCACATTTCTAAGCTGTTTAATGTTCTCTGTAAAATTTGCGTAGCAATTCTATATTTTACTTTTCACATATTAGTTTACTAGATCATCAGTAAAAAGATTAGCTTTTACGGGAAGCTTTAATGTGGTTTGTTATATTATTTGTTGCGATTAAGAATAATAGTGGACTTAAGGCCGATCCTTGAGGAAATACATTATGGAGTAATTTCGATGTTGAATGAAATCCATCCGTTTTTACTTGTATGGACCTGTTTTGATGAAAGTTTTTGGTGAAAGCGAGAAAGTTACTATTTTACAATTTTTCATAATTTAGAGGATACAATGCGTCTATGTGGTGTTGAAAGCTTTTGTGATGTCGAAAATATTGCAATTACTTTTTGTTTATTTGTAAATGCTTTATGAATTTCGGATTCTAGTGCAACAATGTTATCATTAAAGAGTTTATAAATTTACATTGAAAGAGTTTATTAAAACTAAACAAATTAAAACTAATATTTTAATATATTCCTAAACAAAATTCATCATGAAACATAAACTGTAAATTAAAAATAAGATTATAAAGTAAAGAAGTTACTTTATAATAAGATTATAAAGTAAAAAGAGATTATAGAAAAGAAGCATTTATAATCTCATATAATGTCCAACAAATGCTTTAATTCTTTCACATGAAAAAACCCTCTTTTAGAAATAATTTTTTGGTTACTCATTGCACCAATAACGTCATCCTAATCGTTTTTTTTCCAATATCTGATTTATCTGGCCACTTCCAAGACTTAAAAGATTTCTGCATCGATAAAATTTCATCACCCTGGTCATCTGTAAAGCTTAAGATTTTCCTTGAAAATACTCTTCTTCATACCTAAAGATTACATATTTACCAACTTTTTTGACAATTTGGTTAATGCCTAGTTGATGAAAATTTCGACAGGTATTGACTCATCAATATTATTACAGATTATTTCAAATTTCTTCTCGCTCTCTAAATATCTTTTATTTTTCTTCTACAATATCTTGCAAATCAACATCATCACTACTTTCTGATATAACAATCAAAACTGTTTTTTTTTTCTTGTGTTTTAAAAAGCTTAGTGTAGGCCTACTTCGTTTTAGCTTTCGGTATGGATTTTCCAGGTGATAATTTTACAGTTAGTGACATAGTGACCAGTCTTTTTCGTTTCTTCCCTGAGTTCTGTGGTCTTTTATATTTTTTCGTCATTTCTTACAAACAATTCTCAAATGATTTACGTGTTTGTAAAGAAGGTCCAATTGCGAGACAGGGCTTTCTTTTTCTACTTAAACTTCATTTGCAAGTAACTAGTCCTATTCTTTTAACCTTTGCAAAGGTAGGGCAGAGGGTTCTGCTATTCTGTTAGGATTAAAGCGTTCATTACATCTAATTATACCGTATCTGAAGAAGTATAGGATGCTTTTGCCCCACATTTGAATAATTGTAGTCTTCTTGATTTCCCAGTGGCAATAACAGGATTCGCATTTGGTTGTAGTGCTGTTGAAGATATAGACCTACTGTCTTCTGATTGTACTATGGCTAAGGAAGGCATAGTTACTGAGTGTGGACATTCAAAGAAGCAGTGGCTTCCACTTGTACTATGGAGGGATTGGGAAGATTATTTTTATACCTAAGCAAATCATCTTTTTTTGAATATTGATGTAGGAATTGCATTTCTATTAGGACCTTGTTTATTGGCATCATAAATTTCTGTGGCTTTAAAGCCGTTAATGATATTAAAACTAAGTATTTAATGAGCTAGCTTGGTTATCATTTGTACAAATATTTCTTTAGGATTTTTTTTTGCGAGGATTTTCTCTCTGCCACTTACTGAGTACCTTGTCCCAACTATTTTTCATACCTCTAAAGACTGACACATCTAATGGTTTGTAATAAATGTGTCATGTGTAGAAGTAACTTGATAATAGTTATTTCATTTTTTTGTGCTAGCTTTATCAAATTTTGTAGACACATGGCACGGCCATCATAAATTAATAAAACTGGTCCTTTCCTTAGTAACATAAGGGTAAAAAACATTTCTAAACCAATTAAAAACAAAGTAGCTTCCATCCAACTTTGAGATGTTGTAGAAACTGCAGTTTGGGGATGTTGTATTCTCATTAACACCAATTATCCATTACGTGTTTACCTTTAAATACACAGAGTAGAGGTATTTGACCATCAGCAGAGCAAACACACAAAACAGATGTGTTTTTCTCGGCAAGACGAACTGGTCTTCCATATGGTTTTTGTACCAATTGCACTAACAACCTTTGTTTTACTAGGGCCACGGCAAAATGACGTCTCGTCGCAATTAAATATCTGTTCTGGTTTCCCCTTAAGGTTTAGTTCTTCCACAATTTTTGTTAATATTTCAAAACAATTATAGATGGCCCAAACGTTCAGCTGATTGCATCTAACATGTTCAATACTCCTAGGTTTCTTTATTGACAGATGGTGCCTAGTTTTAAATGATCTAAACTAGTCAGGGCCTGGTCTCTGTTCTTTAAATCTACTCTTGATATATTCCGTCTTATATACAAATATTGTACTAAGTCTAATACTTCATCTCTGGATAGCCAAACCCATTTTTGTCCATAATATTTATGCAATCTGCATTTTTTTTTTCCTCAAGAGACAACAAATATGACAACTCCTCCACCATCGTTACCTTCTTTTGAAGTCAGTACATCCACGTGTCCTTTAACTCGATGCTTCAATGTAAATAATGGAATATTGTAAAATAATGATGCACACCATGTCGTCCTGATGCCATTGCTAATATCCTCAATTGCCCTATCAGGGTCTTCCGTGGTATATGAGGAGCCAGCACCTTTTTGAGTTTTTCTTATGTACGTTCGTACCATTTTCTGAAACCAACACAATCTAATATAACCTAGGCTTTGAAAAATTAAAGGATGGAAAAACCCGATATGGGTCTCAGTTACCATGAAAGAGCAAAAGCTCTCGGAGTAACTGAACGACCCATTATAACCTTAAAACTAATGAAATAAGCATGCACAACTAATTTAAACATTGTTAATAGAATATTAATCAACACTTTTACAATAAAATAATGGTAAAAATACTTACTTTGATAATCAAAACAATAATGTAATTATTGATTAGACTTCTCACAACAACCAAGAATACTATGAAGGTTAGAATTAATGTTTTGGAGGGAAGGCACGTTCTTGCAGTACAGCCAACAGCAAAAAATTTAAATAAATGTACATTTAAGAATGAAAAAGGTATAGCCCAGACACCCCTCGTTACTCCAGTTGCTCCCCATCACCCTAAGACTCCCACTCTTCCATATGCTATTTTAAAACATCGTAGAACTTGATATCCGTCTCAAAAACGTTTAACTTATTTTTTCTCCCTCCTTTTCTTTTCCTCATATAAAATCTTGGGAGTGTACTACACTGTAAATTAGTTTTTCTCTTTGTTTTTTTACCATTATCTTATTGCTTTCCCTTTTTGTTTCAGCATTATTTGGTACTACTGACTTTACTTCTACCTATAACGATCTATGGGGATCAAAGATTTCCACGAAAATCGTTAGGTGCTAGTTGCAGAAAATCAATACCCAACAAAGCATCTTCTGCATACATGAAGGATCAAATAGCCTATTCTAAAGAAACTTGTCCGGATATCTTGGATCCCTGCCATCTATTGATCGACACCGATACTGATTTTTTCGCAGTGTACTACAACCATACAAGACCGTACAGTCTAAAACTCAGTATTTCATTCAAAACTGCGCTGGGAATCGAAAAAGTCTTCTTCGAACAAAGCGAAGACATGTTCAGAGCTTACACGAAGAGTTTGATTCAAAACGTAATGCAATTCGATGGTATCAGCTGGCACGCAAATATTGACGAGACTGATTACGATTTGATGGTAAACTTCTTGTTTGACAGATACTCACATTTCCATTACAAACTCAAGACCATACCTGAAGATGAAAATCGAAACGTCATAGAGCTTTGTGTTAAGAGCGATGGTAGTTTTGATCCAGCTAAAATGCTGGTAGTTCATGTAGCCTATTAAATCTAGTTCACTATGTATTTTTTTTATTATTTAATAAACACTAATTAGATGCTTAAGAAAATTACAATCTGATCAAACAATAAGATTGATTAATTACTATTTAACTGGGAATAAGCCACAATATTGTGGCTTATTACCAGTTAAATAGTAATTAATTTAAAAATGCCCACAAGAAAATAGCTTTAGAACAATAATGATTGATGAGCCACTTTTTTCTAGCCTATAGTATTACTAAAAACTTAAAACTAAGTATAAATTCACTAGAAGCTATTCCTTAGATTCTGTTAATTTATTGCACAAATAAATAATCAAAGAGTTACTCTGAACATTTTTATAATAAGTAAATATATTCTCTTGGTTGTTAATGACACCACAGAATATATTATCAAAAAAGAAGCGAAACGAAGCGCTTTTTCGCAATCCAAATTTCTGTGACATTCCGCCATGTTCTAAATAGTTTATCTGTCAACCTATAAAAACTAAAGTTTGTTATTTGTTTACTTAGTGAGAAGTGTTGTTTCGTGTATGTTGTTTAATAGTAAAAAAAGAATAATACTGTTAATACATATTTTTGTAATAAATTGTGATGATTGCACGAAAAGGAGGATTTGATTGTATTGTTTCGTGGGTGCCCATCTAAATCTGGTGAGGAAATCTCTCTTCAATACCGAGAGATCGTAGCAGTTAAACAAATTCAATTTGAAATTCAAATGCGTTACAAAAGTTATCTGAACATTTATATTTTAGTTAAATACGCTTTTTTAGAACAAAATACAATTTAAAAAAACATTCGTTTTAATGATTACTTCGTTTCTCATTGTAACTACAATTTGACTACAGTTTTAACGACTTCTTCATTACTTTTCTTAGTGTACAAAGTAGTTTAACTGTCATTGTTATTCCGAAATTTCTGTCCTACGAACATCAAAGGTATACTCCCAGAGATATGTATAATTCGCTTCTTGGAGGAGTATTCTGTGATGACACTGAAATTTATATGAACGAAATTGATTCCTTTTCAAAATGTTTAAGGCCGTGGAATTATGAATATTAAACTCGTCTGAAATGGCCCGGGAACTTATTATAGAATTTTTTACAACTGCTGTTAATACATTTATTTCATTTTGATTTTCTAAATTTGTTGGTACCCCCAGCAATATTCTTTGTACATATACAATTAAAAATCACGGTCCCAGTATTTTCAAAATTTTGTAAAATCCTTCGAATTGTTGAATGACTTGGAATTGGTCTATTGGGATAGCTTATGTCGACTTTATACTATAGCATTTTTCATATAAAAAAGCTTGCACGTCATTCAATATTTACGTCGTCAGAAACCCACAGCGTTGCCAAAACATCAAAACAGTTAGTAAGTGAGGAATTTTCAAAATGTCAACTATTTGTCAAACTACTATCAAATACTATAGACTATAATACATCCAACTCCGACACAAAACTGGCAGCACGTTGCTTCTAGCGCCACGGCGGCTTGAGTTGATAACTACGTTTTGTCAACATAAACATACAAATTTTATTTTTCTAATTTTTTGTCTTATTAGCTAATCTCGCTAAAATAGGGATACTATGTCATGTTACATTAAATAAATTACCAATAAACTTTATTGAGAAAGTGGACACTTTATTTGACATTTTCAATTCTTCAAAATATAATGACAAGAAATTCAGAAAGCCAATTTCAATAAAAAATCATTATCATATTGATAAATTGCATGATTCAAAAGAATTTCTAAGTAATATCAGAGAATTGAACACAAGAAGAGTTAATCCAACATGTATCAATGGATGGATATCAAATATTAATTCTCTGAAGTTGCTTTGGAATGATTTAAAGAGCAATTATGGGTTTCAATTTCTTTTTACAAGAAGGCTAACCCAAGACTGTATAGAAAATTTATTTTCTATTATTAGGGCTAAGGGTTTTAATAATAATACACCTGACAGTGTGAAATTTAGGTGCAACTTGCGATCTGTCATGGCAAATCAGTTACTGCAACCATCAGCGAACAGCAACAGCGACATTGATGCTTGTTCATTTTTAATTCAAAAAGATGAAATGCTCAAAAACCCAATTAAAGTATTGCTTAATAATCCTATCGAGCATTGCACCGAAAAGGACATAAGTAATGACAATTACGATATGATCGAAAAAAATTCTGAGACTTATGTGTTAGGATGGGTTTGCAGTCAATTGCCTCACGAACAATGTAGAAATGCAGTATGTAACTCTTTTAATAATTATTCTTTAGAAAATACCTTAATAGAGTTAAAAAATATGAGAAATCATCTAATTTTAAATTTCCAAATGATGAAGCCAAGGGAGCTTCAGATAAAATTAATGATATATTTAAAAGGTATTTTCAAAATTATATAAAACAAAGCGTTAAAAATGTTAAAAATATAAATTGAAATTAAAATGTGACTTTCAAGAAACTCTCCAAATATATGTACAAATTGTTACAAGACTTTTATAGTGTGTTAATAAAAGCTTATGTAAATAAAATTAACGACAGTAATAAGGAAAAATTATATAAATTAAAATGTAAAAATATCAAATTAAAGAAAATAACTCACAATTAAATTTGTATTTTGATTTAATCTATAAATAAACTAATAAATTACACTTATTAAATAACAGGCTGTTAAATGCAAAAGTTTGTAGTTATCAACTCATACCATGAGATGGCGCTATTTTGTTTGCTGCCACAAAGCTAATGGGAAATGTCAAGAGTTGAATGTATTATAGTCTATAGTATTTGCTACTATATTAACAGTAAATACACTAAGACTACTGCAATACGTTAAAATACATGGGAAAACATTTTAATACAAATTATTTATTCCAAATTTTAAACTTACCTCTTTTAGGGCTTTAATAGTAAAAACGTCGCGCCATTATTTCTTGTTCAAAATAGTATATATTAAATGAAAGCTTATCAGCTTACTACAGACTATTTGTTTGTTTTGGCATATCACAATCACAATACACAACAATAATTAGTTTTTAAAGTTTAATTTAAATTAAAATGTGTTTATAAATACAATTTATTAATATATGTTATATTATGATCAAATTGTGTAAGAAATGAAAACATAAACAAAATTTCTACTCAAAAAAAGCGTCAACACTTTATACACTTTTGCCACATGCTGAACTGTCAATAATATTTTATGTATCAGTGCGTTCTCCTTCCCGTGCCACTCCTAGCGGAAATTGGAAATCATCATGGCTACTGCGACTTTGTTAGCAGCGCGCCTAAAAAGTTCAATCGAACTACACCCGAACCATTCAGGTAGATTACGAAGCCACGATATTTTTCTTCTTCCCACACTTCTTTGCCCTTAATTTTGACCTGCATGATGTTTCTTAAAATCATGTAGATTGATCAGTGACAATTGTCTAATATATTTAATTAAAATTATTATATTGTGGAATATTAGACTTCAAGAGTTATTTCATAAAATTTATATTATGAATAATAATAAATGTTTTTGGTTATTTAATCAATATAATTCTAAAATTTCCAATATAATGATGATTATATTTTTCTGATTATTACACCATGTTGGCGCCTATGAAAGATCGAGCAGTTCCGTATGGGTTTCGTATTATTAGCTGTGTTAGGAAAATTTGAAGTCTAAGGTTGATGTTCTGGAAATTTTAAATACGTCGTTTTAAGTGACGTCACTTTGTATAAATCGTGACGTGCAAGTGTTTTACTTTGAAAAATGGTATAGTCAGTGTGTTCACCTTCAACTCTGAGATTTTCTGTCTGATTTCAGTAAAGATTTCTAATTATTTTCAGATCTTGGTTGTTATTTCCGGCTTCTTTTAGTATTTGCATCATCTTGGTGTGCTGTACTCAATCAAACGATTTCTCGTTATCAACCAGACATGCGTATACGTCGTAGTTGACGTCTCTGCACTTCTGGAATAAGACTTGTACTGAGAACAAAACCTCTCTAGTACTGGAGTATTATGTGCTAGCTAGTACCAACAGCATTTGTGAACCCAAACTGGTTGGGGGAAATTTGACTTTCATACAGCTTGTAGATTCTCCTATAAATGATCTTTAGGAACAATTTTAGGAAATGACTCATGAGGCTTATAGTACGGTAATCTTCGCATTTTTTGGCTCTTGTTTTTTTTGGAAGTGCAATAAACTCAGATTTCAGCCATTCTGTAGGTATATATTCTCCAGAGTTGTATATGTTGTTGAATATCTTTGCGATTGTTGCTATTGATTCGTTGTACATTATTTTAAGTAGTTCTGCTTGTATATTATCAGGGCCTGCCGCTTTGCCATTATTTAACTGTGTTATTGCGGAATAAACTTCCTGCTGTACTATTCTTGGTCCATCATTTACCTATTCTTCTAGCTTAAAAGGTGTTTATTTCTTTAGTCTTCAAATAGTTTTTTCTAGATATTCTTTCCACGTTCTTATTTTACTTTTTGTCCAAGATGATGTTTCCGTCAGAATCAAATTTCAGTTATTATTTTTAATATTTTAATGCAATATTTTGCATTTTGCGTCACGAACCCTCTTCTGTGCTGCCAAGAGCAATTGTAATAAACAACCGAACGTTCACTTCGCAATACTGTTTTCCAACCTTGTCAAGGAGAGTTGTACAGTAAATATTTGACAATCAATCTCTTTATTTTATATTTTTTAATTCTAGAGAATCTGCTTGAATATACCAGGTAGACTAGTAAAATAATTGTTCGACGAAATCAAGGTCTCGTTATTCTAAACTTCATTCAGTCCATTCCAATTGAAGTTGTTTCTACACATATCCTGGCTCTGTCGATAGAAAAGATTTGAATTTGAAGAAATTTAATATATTTATTAGAAATCAACAAGTAATTGTAAATTCAATTTGTATTTCTTCTGTATGTAAAGAACAATAAGTCTTCTTTGACCAATAATTTTCTTATTAGCTTTCTGTCCAGTCATATTTCGCTTCTTTGCTCTCTTCACTAACCGCCTTTTTTATGCCTGTGACTATTCCTCACATTTCAACACTTCTCTTAACTTTATACGAATTTATTTTGGCAACTAACCAAACCAAAATCAAGTTAATTTAATTATTATTTTGGTAAAACCTCAAACAGCCGTAAAAACGAATTACTTGTATGCTGACAATTTTTATTTGGTTATGTTTGCAACAGGTGTGCCAACATACCTTTTCATCTTGTTCTCATAAACTTAAAATCAAACTCAAAACTGTGCTTTGACAACAAACGTCAGCGTGGGAAAAGGCTATTAATAAAAAACACTGTTCAAAAGTATATACATTTAATAAAAATTATTCCTAAATCAAAAGATGACAACAATGCAGCCATAACAACAAACAGTATTTTGTTATTTAATAATCACAAATTCAGAAATTATTCTCTCAACGTTTTGATCTTATACGTAAATAATCACAAAATATAAAATGTAACAACGAAAGTTCGATTGAAATATTAAAAGTGATGTATGAGTTAAAATCCTTTGACGATCAGTTATATGAATCAAAATTTACCCCAAAAGTAGGCAACCAGTAATTCAGATAATTAATCCAAAAATCTAGGAAACAAAAATGAAAATTAGGGTAATGGAGAGTTCAGTACTGCGCAGAATACAAACTGTGGGGGGAAGTAAGGTAAATACAACAAAGGTTGTAAATAAACAACATGGATAATGAAAAAAAAAATGCCTTAGACGGGAAATAGAGTTTGGTACGTTCTGAACACGGCCTATAGGGGAAAGTGGGGCAAAATCTAATAAGGCATGTCGCTCAGATAATTAAGAACATTTTAACTAAAATGAAGAAAAGAACATGAAAGAATTTTATAAAAGAGGGAAAGACTGTGTAGGGAGCGTTGCAAATCCAACCAAGTCCATATCTTCTGCAGATAATTACTCATGTCAGACCCTTTGAAGTTAGTTTTAACTATGAAAAAGGTTAAGAGTTTGTGTCATTTGCTCGGAAAGTTGTAAATCATTTGTCCTTAGTTTACCACCAGACACTCATACAATCAAAAATGACAAACATCTTCAAATTTGAAAGTTGAAACGTAAATAAAATGTTTTTTTTTGTATTATCTGGTATTACAACTAGACAATTCTAAATCTTCCTGCCATAGTTTGAAAAATAAAACTGTAAATACTGAAGAAGTACTTGGGCATCGTTAAAATAGGAAAACTGACATGAATACTATGTATAAGACAGCCTATGGGGCGAAATTTTCTCAAATACAACAATACTCATTTCTTGCGTCGATAATTAGTCTTAGCTCTTCTTTAGGATAAGCTTAAGTAAGTTTTAACTATAACAATGGCTAGAAATGGCCACTCCGTCTGAAGATGGTAAAGAATCCGTCTTTATCCGAAGTTTATCCCAGATCCTCGTGAAATCAAAAATAATAAAAAATGACAAATATCTTCAAATTTGAAAGTTGAAATGTAAATAAAATGTTAGCTTTTGTATTATATGGCATTCTACCTAAGACATTATAAATCTTCATGTCACAGTTTGTAAAATATACAAAATACTGTAAATATTGAAGAAAATTCGGAAAATAGGGTTTCAAAGAAAACGCAGACAAATCTTAAAGTTTTTTTTTAAATATGTAAACATAAATTTTGTCAAAATAGTTCGCAAAAATATTAATTCGTTTAAATAAAATAAAACTGAACGTTTAAACGGTTGGATCAGAATTTAGAAGTAGTATTTAAGGCCCATCCATCACTTTTAATTCCAAAACTGTAATAAAAATAGATCAACATACATCAGTGATTCACAGTGTCGTCTTTTTAGAAAACGTGATGACCGGGTACACATTGCAAGGTGTACAGATAAGTCAAAGATCGTTTTGAGGTCAAATAATAACCAATAAAAGAAGAAAAGAGGTAAGTCAATAGCCCCTGTAATGTGGGTTGCCTATACTATCACATAAATATGAAACCTGACAGAATAAACACCAAAAAAACTTAACAAAACACAAAAAATTACAGATACACAGTTGTTACAGATAACTCCAACTAAAACTAAAAGGAATCAAGATAAGAAAACCAAAAATATTGAAAATTTAAATGATTACTAGGAAAACTGGAATTGGAATATACCGTTCTCGGTATTTTTGGTGATTCCTTTCCGTAGTATCGATTCCTTCTTTAGAATTGAACATTTTTGTCAGAGTTTATTGAAAACCAATAGTAATTTATCCAACAAAAGATGCAAACAAATGTTAAACCACAAATGTAGCATTGTCACATTCAAAAATTATTTTAAACGTTTAAAACTATTCTGAGATTCAGATGATTCAAAGTTATTAAAAAATACGACTCATTTAATCGATATGATCTTTAATCGCGACGAAAGAGAACTGAAACAAGCTTAACAATGGTACGATGTCCCATTAATGAAAAACTAGAGTGGAAGTACACCATAACAATTCTTTTTGGCGATTTTTTAGTTAAAACTGATTAATTTTCTTTCGGATTCTGGTTCAAACTAATACATAATGCAACCAAACCAAAAATACAGCATTGTCACAGTCGCAAATGGTTTTAAAGGTTTAAGACTGTTATATAAAACTCAATGAATCACACTGACCATTACTCATGACGAAACGAGAGTGAAAAAGGTAAAGTTGCCATAAATATGATGATCACTGATACCGTAAGTATACATCAAGACTAGTATCATTGGGTTAGGTATTGGTAATGGTATGACATACAGAACTGGAACAAAGTGCTAAAAATCTGTTTCTGGTCGACATTTTCCAGACAAACACTGAGAAGTCACTGATAATACGAATAGATCTCCAGGTGCTGTTTTTAATATAAAAATGATAAAAAATCGTTTACACAAAATAGTATGTAAGCTTCGCTGTAACATTCAATAGAAAATTATCAGATTCTTTTTTGACGCTCTTCCCTCATTTTAAATAATAAGAAAATAGATAAAAATTGTGAAAAATCAGTCGGTTTTCTCAGAAAATGTGTATCATCCCTCATGTTCGGGCAGTGAATCTCCCGATTCGTCAAATTTGGATTTCGAAGGTGTTTCTCTTTGGTCTACAATAGCCTAGAAATAAAACACAGTTATTACCGGGAAAACTTCTTGTATATTGGAATACAAACCTGCAAGTTTTTTACTTCTCTTTCATGAAACGCGGTACTGCCTTCGGACGACGCTAACGACGCCGATAAAGGAGACGAATGAGGACTGAAACCCGCTGTAGTCGTAACGTTTACTTCGTGACAGCTACTAGTGTCGGGAGAATGCACAGAAGTTTTTCCCAGTTCCAGTCTTTGCCACAAATCGAGAATTTTCTCTTCCAGGCTTCGGTTTATCGTCAACTGAGTTTGGTACTTGCTCTCTACGGCCTTAAACGATAAAAAATTGACATATAATAAACTTATACATATCACCTAAAGACATAATTGCTTTAATAGTACTAGAAACATATTCACAAAGTACACAGAGTCATATAAATCACTTCGGAAGTACTTATATATGTATAACTGCTTTAGAAAGTGCCTGGAAATATACGGCTGATTTTGGAAGTACCTAAAGAGGGATCACCACTTAAGGAGATGTATTTAGAAAGTACCAAGAGATCTAGAACGTTTCTAGAGATGTACGACTAATTAAGTCATAACTAGAGGCTTATGGTTCATTTGGGTAGTACTTTTTATCCCTTTAGTAGGTACCTGGAGACGTATAACTGCTTCAGGAAGTACTTACGGTTGTATTCAATAAATACCAAGAGACGTGATTCTTTTAGGAAGTATTTACATACTTATAAGTAATTTTGGTAGTGGCTAGAGGGTTATAACTCATTTGGAAAGTACTTACATATGTATGGCAGTTTTAAAAGTACGTGGAGATGTAGGACTAATTTTAAAAGTAACTCCCAACATATAATCATTATAAAAGTAATTAGATACGTATTTAGGAAGTACCTAAATAAGAATCTTTGCCTCCTTTAGGTAGTATCTAGAGGCGTTTGACTAATTTCTACTTAGGTAGTACCTATAGATATATAACTATTTTTCGAAGTACTTATTGCTGAGGTATTGGAAGAATAGGGAGGTGTAACTCATTTGAGAAGTACTTACAGAATTAAAATAAAAAAACGACACAACACAGACTGTTTTAGGATGTATTTAGTAAAGTAGGTACTCTGCTTTACACAATATCTCAACATTATAGTACCGATATTAATACCTAATTAGGTACCAAAACATAACTCATTTAAGAAGTGAATAGATACTTATTTTAAAGGTACCAAGGATATATTAGTTTTGTAGAATAGAGATATATCTAGAGACGTATCACTAATTTCGTATGGCGCATTAAGGAAGGACTTATATGTATATTACTGCTTTATAAAGTACTTCAAGACATACAACTAAATTTTTAAGTATTTAGAAAGTACAATCACATCATAAAGACTGTATGACTAATTTCTATAGTACATAGAGGTATAGGGCTCACTTGGGAAGTACCTATAAATGTATTGCAGATTTAAAAATTACTTGGAGATGTATAACTAATTTTGAAAGTACCCAGAAACGTATAATCACTTCAAAAAGTCACTAGAGACATATTTAGTAAGTACCGAGAGAAATATAACCGTGACAAAGTTCCGAGTGATACATGAGTACCGTAAGAAGAAAATAGATAGGTATGAATAATTTTTGTAGTATATAGAGGCGTATGGCTCATTGGAGAAGTAGTTATAAATGTATTGCAGATTTAGAAAGCACCTGGAGACGTACCTCGGAGACATACGAATAATTTTGGAAGTATCCAGGAACGTATAACTGCTTCAGGAAGTACCGAGAAACACATAACTCACTTATGAAGTATTAAGAGACGAATGACTAATTTCGGTGGTACCTAGAGGCGAATGACATATTTAGGAAGTACTTATATGTATATTGCTGCTTTCTGAAGTACTTAGAGACATATAACTAAATTTTGAATTACTATGGAACGTATAATCACTTCAGAAAGTCACTAGAGACGTATTAGGAAGTACTGAGAGAAATATTACCGCAAGGAAGTTCCAAGTGATACATGAGTACTGTAAAAAGAAAATAGATAGTTATGAATAATTTCTGTAGTATATAGAGGCGTATGGCTGGCTTACTGGAGAAGTAGTTATAAATGTATTGAAAATTTAGAAAGTACCTGGAGATATATAACGAATTTTGGAAGTACCCAGGAACATATTAACTGCTTCAGGAAGTACCGAGAGACACATAACTCATTTAGGAAGTATCTAAAGACCTATGATTAATTTCACCAATAACAAATTACATTTAAAAAAATGCTTCAGAAAGTACTTAAAGATGCGTAACTAAGTAGTACTTAGGAACGTCTCCATTTACTTTCTAGATCATTATTTTTCAAATATTACCAATTTTTTGGCAACTTTTAAAAATATGTTGATGCCAGGGTCAACAATTTATTCAATTTTTAATTAATTTCGGGTACCTAGTTACTCACCTCCAATTTCTCAAACTTTTCCTCATTAATGGCGCACAGCATTTGTTTCTGAGATAAAATTAGATCGTCCTTTGAGATTATCACATGATCTAACTCGATAACTCTGTTCCTGTAGGCTTCTAAACTTGCCATTTTGTTTTCCAGCTGTTGGTTGAGAACTAAAATGGAGTAGAAACGTTTTTATGAGTAAAAAGAAGATAAATTTTTAATGAATAGTTATTTTTCTCTCTATTTGATTTGTCAACTATATATAACTACCTTTGACTTCGTCATGGCATGCTTTTCGTACTTCGTCCATTTCGCACTGATACACTTTACCTATATCTAAGCTGTCTAATCTCTCCTGGTATTTGGCTTGCAGTTCTCCGATCATTACCAAGTCTTTATTCACTTGCTCCAACTCCTTTTTGCCCTTTTCCCCTTGTAGCGCTTGTTGTTTCGCTACCTAAAAAAATCAAACGTAGAACGACAAAAAGACAACGTGAGATTCCTAACTCCAAACAAATATTACTTACATTTACTTCTGCTAGTGCGTCTATTAGTTCTGCTTGCAGTTCCAATAGTTTCGTATCTGATATCGAACATTTTGATTTAAAATCAGTCAAGTCTTTCGTCAAACGATCGTTGTTCTCCTCCAAGGTTTTGACTTCCTCTTGGAGTGATTTACACTAAAAAAAAGTAATAATAGTTTATTTGGATTAACTTTAGGTGGCAAATACATTTTCTCTATTACATTATTTCATCTCGTTTTTTATTTGAATAATACCTATACGGTATTGGCGATGTGCAAGTACTTGGATGTGATACGAGAAACGATCGTGCGCGAGTAGCGGAGAAATCTTGCATTTTTTACTGCAAATTTCATAGATTTCATAAATTCATATTGTCAATTGTCATATTTCATATTCGTTTGTTTATTTACACCTTCTGTCACTGAAGAAAATGGGATTTAGGAAATGCTGTGTTATAAATTGTAAAAATACAACAAAAAATTGTCAATTTAAGTTTTATTCGTTGTCAACTTCGAAGCACAAATTACTACAAAGAGAAAAGTGAATTTATATCATAAAAAATCATAAGTAACATAACCTAAATTATGCATTATTCTTGCGCCCGATTTTAAAGTCAGTTTGAAATAAATAATAAATAAAAGTTCACTTTTAAGTGTAAATTTTAGTTTCATAACACTCAGAGTTCATTTTAACCCAAAAATCAAGTTTAATGTTTAAATTTTATTTTTTTGAAGTTTACAAAAATGCATCAAGTTCAAGTTTTTCTGAAGATACATTAAGATATATTCGCTGTCCAAAAGTTTACAGGGAAAGAATGAATTGTTCAAACCAATATGATGATATCATGGGCTTAACCTGCTAATTTATGCATTAGCATTATTTATGGTAGTTTATTTTTCTTAATTCTTCCATTATTTTTTGACATTTGCCACTACTAAAGCTTTTCCGTTTGACTCAGTGCTTCGTTGAAAAGTAATTTTGGTGATTTACTTTCTCAAATCCAGTTTTTATTATTGCATCCATATTAACAGTAGTGCTGTAATTTAATAATATATTTATTTTTTTACACTACATACAACGTTTACCTTTTAATAACATACCGACATAACCTCAATCTTACTTTTTCTTCTTATTCTTTTTTGGGACTACGTCCTTGACAGTTATCCGGTAACCTCGATCTAACATGAAAGCGCAGTAAATTTTGCTGATTTACGACACCAGGTGTCGCTGTTCCGAACTTGCACGGTCCCAGTAGGTAAAAGTTTATGGTCGGTATGGCAGAATATAAAAAGATTAGATTACACTGCAAGAATTTAAACATCCGTAACAATTGAGTGATTATCGCACGACCTTACCTGATTCTCCCAATAATTAATCGTTTTATTCAGTTTCTTGTCCTCGTTCGACCTCTCCTTTTTGTAACTATCTAATTGGGCTTTCAGATCGTCCAGGTCTTTCTGTTGGAGCTGAACGGTATCTCTCTTAAATATAACAGTAATGTATAGATGTGTAAAGTCTGGCATGAGTTACTATTTAAACAAAAATAAAGTATGCAATTGTACTTACAAGTGCTGAATTATATTCTTCTAACGACCTAGTGCTCTTGGCGTCCGATAGCAGTCTTCTGTTTCTGTACGCGTGCGTTTCTCTCCTATGTCTTTCGAACAAAAGTTGTTGATGTACTAGTTCCAGCTGTTCTTTCATGTGTTCCTTACTTTGTTTATCGCTGGAGCGAACGGCGACATCAATGTAACTAAATTGAAAAAAAAAATTAATAAAAACCAAACAAAAGATATTTCACAAGTATTTAGTTTCAGACAGTTATATTTCATTAGTTTTATTGTAGAATACAGTTATTTTTGATACATTGGTAAAATGGTAGAGACAGAATTATTAGACAGGAAAAAAGCTCACTATTTTTATTTTCATTTCTTTCCTTAACTGTTCCTCTTCGTCTCTCCCCCTATGAGGAAACATTAACTTGTAGGTATTTCCTTACTATCTTTTCCGTCCTCTCGCGATGTGGCTCTGTCTGTTTTTTCATTTCCTCCTCGTCCTGTCTTTCCACATCTCTCTTATTCCCACCGTCTCTATTTTTTGTGCTTCTTTTCCCGTCTGTTGAACGTCTTTCTATATTTCTTTTATTTTTCTATTTTGTTTTGTTTACCCTATCCCTCTTGTCTTTAAGTCGTCCATTTTCTTTTGCTCTCAGGTTTTCTCACTCAATTTCTTTATATATGACACCGGTCTCTTAGGTGAGATTCAATATTTCTTACTTGTGCGCTCTGTTTCTCTCTCTCCTCTCTATATTTCTCTACCCTTTCATTTCCATACTAACTTTTCACTTTTCTCTTCTAAATATTTCTATTATGTCCTAAATCTTATCATTATTCTTGTCTAAATCTCCCTGTCTCTCTTTCTCTCTCTATTTATTCCTCTATTTCTCTCTTTCTCCATCTATCTATTTCTCCCCCTCTGTCTATCTTTTTTTTTGCCCCGTTTTCCTTGTATTCTTTCTACTGTCTCTTACCTGCAATGTCTCACAGTCTCACTCTTATTCTATCCACTTCTGTAATTATTTATTTCTCTCATTTTTTGTTTCTTTCTTGTTCTCGCTTTTCTTTGTCTATACCTCCAACCGACTATTTTCTCTCTAACTTTCGTCCTTTCCATTCGCATTACATTTCAAAGTTTTTTTTATAGTTTCTTCACCTTTTTCTCCTTTTATCCCACTCTCCTACAATTTGGCTGTCACTTATTCCCTCTTCTTATTATGTATCATCTTGGATTCTCTTATTTTTCTTTCGTTCTGTACACAATTGTCCTTTTTTTCTCTTTGTCCTCCTCATGTTCCTTATTTATAGTTTCCTTCCTGTTTTCCCTACATTTTCTACTGTATTTTCTCTCGTCTCACATAATGTATGTTGGTTTTATTCCTTTCATGGACCATTTCCACCTCTCTTGTCTACCAAATACGAGGTTTGTCTTTTTAGTTTCGCATATAGCCGCCTAGAGGGCGCCACCAAATAAGTTGGTGGCGCCCTCTAAACAGGGAGGAAATTTTCAGAGAGAATTATCCCAACAGCAATGTCTCGTTGAAATGGTTTTTGTGTTTGGGAATGAAGCATCACACTAGACAACTATTTCCTGCTGAGAATCCAGGCCAGGTTCACCCAAAACAGCAGTCACACAGCAAGCTAATTCACAATTCGTCAGCTAATTAAGAATGATGCTGTGTAACATACATGCAGATAGATGCATCTTTGGGCATTTCAAAGAACTCAATCCAAAATCCTATATGAAGAACTGGGTGTTGCGAAGTTGGTTTCTCGTTGAATGCCTCATTTACTCACATACGAACAAAAAGTGGTTCGCGTCACTTGGTGTCAAAAAACATGGGAAACGTTCAACAAAAGAAGATTAAAAAACGTTTATAGTATTGATAGTGGCGATGAATCTTGGATTTACTCCTAGGAACCGGAAAATAAACGCCAATCGACTGTGTGGATGTTTTACGATACGAAAAACCAACGAAAGTGATCCGTTCTCAATGTGTAATGTAACTGCTCACACTCCCCATAAGACAATAGAGTTTTTGGAGCTTCAAAACATCGAATTGTTAAACCATCCACCGTATAGCCCCGATTTAAGTCCCAATGACTTCTTGACGTTCCAAAAGATCAAGAATTCAATGCGTGGGCAGCGATTCCAGTCGCCAAAACAAGCCATCGCTGCCTCTAAAACAGCGATTTTGCAGGTGTCAACTAAAAACAAGAATATCTGTTTTACCAATTAGTTTGAACATATGCAATACTGTGGGACATATTTTGAAAAGCAATAAAGTACTTTAAGTCTATATATTTTTTGTCTTTATGGATATATGGTAAGAAGGCAACCATCATAACAGTAAGTATAAAATCCTAAACTAAATTATATGGCATTGCTAAAGAGATTCATAATATAAAATTATTAATAATTATTATAAAATGAATGATACTTACTGATCTAAAGTATCATAAATAGAAGTCGGAAGCGTTTTTTCCTCGGTGATATTAAAAGGAGCAGGACTAGCGTCCGGACTGGGCTTCATCTCCGAGTTCTCCAACGAGGGAAATACGCCCAAGAAGAGGTGCTCGTAGGGCCAGAACGTTTCCGTCTGCGTCGTTGTACAACTGTACGTTTTGCTGAACTTATTCTCCGCTTTCGCTAGAGTAGAGTTGTTGGTGGCGGATTTACTTTTCTGCGGTGCGAAATTACCGATCTTTTCTTGAATATCCTCGTCGGTTTCTCTCAGAGGCCTGTCCATATTGTCTTTTGAAGGGTTCGTGGGGCTCTTTTTCATTTCTGGACAGGAGACTGCGCGTCTAACTGTTGTACTAGGAGAAAATGGTATACCTGGAAACAAACCGTAAGGAAAAGTAAATAATTGTAAATTTTTAAAGGGTTTTCCTGACTTATTTCGGTAAATTAAATGAGAAATTAATAAATAATCTTATTTATTACCTATCAAGTATGTACTGATAAACAAATAGTATTCCACTCGTCAGCAATGACTAGTACCACTTTTAATTTAAAAAATGTGTGATATACGTACCGTTACCGGGACTACTTCCCGTAGAAGTCTCTAATTTCTCTGGTTCCGGATTGCATGTACTGTGATGTCTCAATCGCTGTACCCGTTTCGCAAAATTATTCATAGACTTAGAATTTGGCATGTGCAGACCTCCTTCAGTACAGGGAGAACCATGTTCGGGTTCTTCGCCCAACTTCGCATCTAAAACTATCAGGAAATCAAAAAATAAATAAAAAATTATACATATGACAAATGACGGCTTGACGTCTTACGTCAACTTAGACTGGCTGTTGCAATGCAGGCCAGTTCCTCCAGTGCGAAAGAGAAAACTGTCGCAAAACAGTCCTTGCATCACTTTCTAATGAGCTGGGTTTATTGACCTCATGACCTTAGTATTGGTTATTTAGGTCACGTGGTCGATAAACCTGGCAAATTAGAAAGAGATGCAGCGACTGCTTTGAGTCAGTTTTCTCTGTTGTAAAGTGAGTCTCGGAAATTAAAATTATATCAATATTTTGATTAAGTATGAATGTTTTGAGTTCTTTATTGTGCCCATTTACTCCATGAGTTTTTGCATCATTTCCTCCAGCTTGGCTAAGTTGATATTAGGTTGGTTAGGTCTTCGTATTGCTTGGTTGTTATAGCTATACTGTGGTTGATTTTGATTGACTATTTAAGCATAGGTTGAATCAGGTTGTATTTGATGAGAATTATTTGTTAAAATAGGTAGTTGCATGATTATTTTCTCTCTTAGTGTAGGATATAGCTTCTGCTGTAGTTGAATGTGAACTTGACATCCTCTATAGTTAGCAAGGTGGTCACCGTTACAATTGACACGTTTTACTTTGTCATCACGTGATTTTCGAGGACAATCTTTTGTTAAATAACTAAGGTCGAAATCAAAAGACGAATGGAGATAAAGAAAGACACCTTAAATTACATTGAAGAAAAAAGATTAACGTGGTACGGACATGTCAGACGAACAGACCCATACCGGTGGATAGCAAAAATAGCAGAGTGGAGCCCCATAGGAAAACGCAAAGGAAGCAGACCGAGAAGATCTTTCAGTGATGAGGTAGATGAAGCCATGGAAAGAAGAGGATTGGAAGACGGAGAATGGGAGGACAAAAAAGAATGGAGAAAATGGTTGAGAGAAGGGAGACAGCGACAGCTTTAGGAACCCCTATATATATTTTAGTGGATTTTCTTGGGCTTAGGTTCATAAAAAAAATTAATTTGATACTAAGACATTTTTATATATTTTTTTCTACGTTTCGGCAGGAAAAAACGTCGAAAAAAATATATAAAAATGTCTTAGTATCAAATTAATTTATTTTTATGAACCTAAGCCCACGAAAATCCACTAAAAAATATATATTAAGGTTCAAGAACTAAACTCAAACTATATATAAATATATATGTATATATATATATATATACATCCTACCATCAACGGAGCGTCCGTACATTGTCTTTTTACCGTCAATAGAGCGTCCGCCTACATCAGGGCGTCCGTATATGGACGCTCTAATTTTTCTTTGCTTAAAGTGCCTAAAATGTCATCCAGAACCACTTTACAAATTTTTACGGGGACGCCTTATGATGGTTTTTTGTAAAAATATATACGATGAATGTATATTATAGTTTGAGACTTTGACGTCGAAAGCGCGCTGGTCGAGCTCTGCGTATACTTTTCAGAGTATATTATCATCAGTTCTATCGCGTTTAGGGCGTCCGAAGTGTTGGCAACGGTGGATTCGATACACATGATATGTGCCTAATAACTTAATAAGTTTAATTTTATTATCTTGTTGTATTCTCGACACCACACAGAGAGAATATGTTTCCTAGGAGGTAGTATTGGAAAAGGATATTGGAAATCGTATAAACTTTTATGTTTTTAATAATTACTAAATGTTTACACTTATTTAAAAGACACCTACCACAAAATGTACATTTTCTTATAGGAAACGTAAATAGTGGGTACTTAAACAAGAAAACAATTTATTTGCAAATAAAAAAAATCAAACAAAAATAGTTTTTTGTACTTTTTATTTATTTCAAAAAAATAATATATTAATTAAAGGATGTCATCATTTATTAAAAAAGTATAGATTAAAATAATTGTCTATTTGTTTACATAATTCACAATTCAAATCAGTATCTCGATAAAAAATCCATGTAGTCCAATATATTTCGGTACCTTTTAAAAACTTTCACTACTTAAAACCTACTTAAGTTAACAAAATTTTGAAACTTTAAAACATCTCGTTAAAAAGTATTTTTCTTTTACAAACTATGTACAAGTTTAATGTTGCTAAACTGTGGAAATAATACTGGTTATTATCCAAATTATTACTTATAGAAATCTTTTATAGGTTTGCTTTCCTAGTATAATAGACTAGGGAAATGGAGGTTTTTGTGACCATCCAAAGTAACAGATAGCCACCTAGTGTTTCTGGTGTTTTTGGATTCCAATAATAAAACCTAATATTGTTCTGAAGCTATTTTCTTGTGGCATTGTAAATTAATTACTATTTATAACTGGGAATAAGCCACATTAAAGATAAAAATACATTTATTGACGTTTCAATTTCCAATTCGGAAATCGTTCTCAAAATACAAATAGTAAATTAAACAAATTTTGTTTTTTGTTACATAGTGAAAAAATTCTTCTGATAATTTAATTTTATCTGACTCATTTATATTGACAATTCAGACATACATTATGCATTTTAAAGTAGACGACTTTAAAATGATATTGCCAATATTGTTGAGTTGCGCTCCTGGGACGACTTTACTTATAAGATAGTTCATTCGATTACATGAAATCAACTTTAACTTGAGAATATCCGTCAGAAAAAATCATAGCATGTAATTCGTCTTTAAAAAGACAAACACATGACATGATGACAGTAAAATTCTCCTGTTAGTGATTCCATAGTAAATTATGAGGGAAAAACCAGGAAAAAAACCTCATAATATAATTGATGTTTGTTGAAGGTAAACTAAATTCACGAACAAATACTTACAATGTCGGGATAGTATTATGAGGTTTTTTTCCTGGTTTTTCCCTCATAATTTACTATGGAATCACTAACAGGAGAATTTTACTGTCATCATGTCATGTGTTTGTCTTTTTAAAGACGAATTACATGCTATGATTTTTTCTGACGGATATTCTCAAGTTAAAGTTGATTTCATGTAATCGAATGAACTATCTTATAAGTAAAGTCGTCCCAGGAGCGCAACTCAACAATATTGGCAATATCATTTTAAAGTCGTCTACTTTAAAATGCATAATGTATGTCTGAATTGTCAATATAAATGAGTCAGATAAAATTAAATTATCAGAAGAATTTTTTCACTATGTAACAAAAAACAAAATTTGTTTAATTTACTATTTGTATTTTGAGAACGATTTCCGAATTGGAAATTGAAACGTCAATAAATGTATTTTTATCTTTAATGTGGCTTATTCCCAGTTATAAATAGTAATTAATAAAACCTAATAGTTCGCAACCAAAATTACGCTGCAAAATGAAAGTTATTAACAAATAAGTGCAAAAAACTTCTATTTTCTACTTTTTGGCTCTATTTCAAAATCAAGATAGTTGATATAAAATTTGGAATAAGCAGTTTGAAGTGTATACAAAAACCCTAAAAATGACGGTTTTTAAAATTGAGAATACTTATTTGTTGTTATGAAAATTGCAAGAAACTGTTAAATTTGATAAGTTATTAAATAATCGACAATTTAAAAAAAAAATAACCTACGACTTGGTTACTTTGTAAAAAGATGTAGTTTTTAGTATTCAATAATTGCTTAAAATTTTAAGTCAATCGGTCTAATAGTTTTTGCAAAATTGGAATTGTTATATAAGTGAATATAAGTATATATAAGTGAATAAAATATATTATTAGACATAAACAAAAATAAAATTTAGCATCGCAAAATTTCATTGAACAATTACTGTATTTTTTAGCTTATAAACAAATAGAATCACTTTTTTGTCATTGCTTGTAAAATAGTAATTTTTTATTAGCTAAATAGCTGACATTTTCACGCTCATTTTAAATTTAAAAAATTGGTCCTAGCTTGACATGGACCAAAGTTAGCAATTTTTTTTAAATGCTTATAACCTATTTGTTTGTAATAATAAACGAACCTAAAAATGCCATTTTGAACAAAAGAAAGTAAATTTATTGTATATAAAAAATTGGAATGGTAGCAATTAAACACAATAACTGGTGGAGCTTCAAAACGCTGCTAAAATTTTGTCTGTTCAGAATAAAACTTTTGGAGCCAAAAAATTTAAGAGTTCATAAATTGTACTCAAATCTTAGCATGATATAGAAAGTGTATCTCTGGAACTTTTTAATGGATTTTGATAATTCTACTTTTAAATTGTAATAACTCATAGCGTACAATACGAATATGCAACTTTTTAATTAGTAATTGGTTAAATAAACTATCTGATTTATTTAAACATTTTATGAGAAAATTTTTTTTGTAAAATATTAAATTGTTAGGGGTTTAAAATTACTAATAAATGTATAACTTCATAAAATATATTAAAGTGAACAAATTATCAATAAACATAGTTTATATTTATTCAAGAATTTCTTAAAAAACACATTTTTTAAAACCCAAATTTTGGGTAGTAATTATATTTTACACTATATGTGTTCATATTTTTCGACCATTTAATTCAAATAACATATTACTTTATTAAAATCGCGAACAATATTATAGTGATTTAAAAATGGTTTTGTAGGTAAATGTAGGATTCACTTTCTAAAAGATCGTCGTTTGTTTTTAGCTCATTCCAGTTATTAAAGTTGTCATTTGTAAATCAGCATTCCAAAAAAGACTTTTTAAGCAATGAAAATAACAAAAGACAGATTAAATTATTAAAATCGGCTTTACAAAATGCAGGTTTTTATTTAAAATGGTCGACGAAGATACTGGTTGTCCAATAATTAGTACAGCTCTTTAAAATGCTATTTAAAATTTTGCTGTGGATGTATACAACATAGGTCAAGATGTAGATTTAATAGTAATTTTTACACAGTACATTGGTTCAATAAAAAAATATAGACCGAAAGCTGAGATGGCAAAACATTTATTTCATGAAAGAAACCTTAAATAACCAGGGAAAACACGATAGGGCAATATTTGATAGCGACAGTTTCAAATATCAAAATTTAAAACATATTATTGGATTTTGTTACATTTTTAAATAATACATGAAAAATTAAATTTCAAGGCTCTACCTGTTTCGAAAATAGGGAACTCCGTAGAACCGTTTTACAAAAAAAAACTCTATTTTCTGTAGCAATTTATGTGTAAAATGTACAAATGGAAACTGTAATAATTGGAATGAGCTAAAATAAAACGACGATCATTTAGAAAGTAAATCCTACATTTACCTACAAGACAATTTTGAATCACTACAATAATGCGTTTTTATTATGTGAGATGTTCTTTGAATTAAATAATGGAAAATAGTGTGAAATATAATTACTTCACAAAATTTGAGAATTAAAAAATAGGTTTTTTTAAAGAATTCTTGAATAAATATTTACATTGATAATTTGTTTATTTTAATGTTTTTTTTTATGAATTTATACATTTATTAGTAATTTTAACCCACAAAAATTTAATATTTTACAATTTTTTTTATAAGATGTTTAAACAAATTAGATAATTTATCTAAATAATTACTAATTAACAAGTTACATATTCGTATTGCACGCAATGATTTAATACAATTTAAAAAAAGAATCATTAAAATCTATTGAAAAGTTCCAGAAATAAAATTTCTACATCATGTTAACTCTTAAAGTTTTTGGCTCCAAAAGTTTTATTCTGAACAGACAAAATTTTAGCAGCGTTTTTGAAGCTCCTCCAGTTATTGTGTTTAATTGCTACCATTCTAATTTTTTATATACAATAAATTTACTTTCTTTTGTTCAAAATGGCATTTTTAGTTTCGTTAATTATTACAAACAAATTAAGCATTAAAAAAAAATTGCTAACTTTGGTCCATATCAAGGTAGGACCAATGTTTTAAATTTAAAATGAGCGTGAAAATGTCAGCTATTTAGCTAATAAAAAATTACTATTTTACAAGCAATGACAAAAAAGTGATTCTATTTGTTTATAAGCTAAAAAATACAGTAATTGTTCAATCAAATTTTGCGATGCTAAATTTTATTTTTGTTTATGTCTAATAATATATTTTATTCACTTATATATACTTATATTCACTTATATAACAATTCCAATTTTGCAAAAACTATTAGACCGATTGACTTAAAATTTTAAGCAATTATTGAATACTAAAAACTACATCTTTTTACAAAGTAACCAAGTCGTAGGTTATTTTTAAAAAAAATTGTCGATTATTTAATAACTTATCAAATTTAACAGTTTCTTGCAATTTTCGTAACAACAAATAAGTATTCTCAATTTTAAAAACCGTCATTTTTAGGGTTTTTGTATACACTTCAAACTGCTGATTCCAAATTTTATATCAACTATCTTGATTTTGAAATAGAGCCAAAAAGTAGAAAATAGAAGTTTTTTGCACTTAATTGTTAATAACTTTCATTTTGCAGCGTAATTTTGGTTGCGAACTATTAGGTTTTATTATTGGATTACAAAAACACCAGAAACACTAGGTGGCTATCTGTTACTTTGGATGGTCACAAAAAACCTCCATTTCCCTAGTCTATTATACTAGGAAAGCAAACCTATAAAAGATTTCTATAAGTAATAATTTGGATAATAACCAGTATTATTTCCACAGTTTAGTAACATTAAACTTGTACATAGTTTGTAAAAGAAAAATACTTTTTAACGAGATGTTTTAAAGTTTCAAAATTTTGTTAACTTAAGTAGGTTTTAAGTAGTGAAAGTTTTTAAAAGGTACCGAAATATATTGGACTACCTGGATTTTTTATCGAGATACTGATTTGAATTGTGAATTATGTAAACAAATAGACAATTATTTTAATCTATACTTTTTTAATAAATGATGGCATCCTTTAATTAATATATTATTTTTTTTTAAATAAATAAAAAGTACAAAAAACTATTTTTGTTTGATTTTTTTTATTTGCAAATACATTGTTTTCTTGTTTAAGTACCCACTATTTACGTTTCATATAAGAAAATGTACATTTTGTGGTAGGTGTCTTTTAAATAAGTGTAAACATTTAGTAATTATTAAAAACATAAAAGTTTATACGATTTCCAATATCCTTTTCCAATACTACCTCCTATAGTCTTATACGCCGTTTTTTGGGAAATATTTATTGACATTTGCCACTTCGGTTTTGTCATTTGCAACGGATTTTTATAGTTTTGTCCTGCAATCGATTAAATTGAAAACTTAGCTAGATGATGTATTAAAATTATAGAGAAGTAACAGCGCTGAAAATAGCAACATATTAAATATATGTAACTCTAAGTTAAGTCTTTACCTAATTTAATATTTTCATACCTTAGAGTTCATATTATTCTATAGGATGTTATTTTTACTAAATTTTCCATTACATTTAAGAATTTAGGTCGAAGGTTTGCTTTCGATGCTTCGTAGGAAGTGCCTAACACGAAAGTATGAGAATTTCGGAAACATACACTAGCTTTTCATTTATTAATAAATATATTTTAGTAACGCTTATTTTAATGCGCAATAAAAATAATATCAGGCAAATACGAATGTGGCCAAAACGATAGATAGTATCTTTAAAAATATGTAAATATACATATTATGGTTTAAAACTTGACTAATTTTTACAACACTACACTACACTCAGATGAAGTCAGTGGCGCTCCATATTGCATAGGCTCCCTAGCTAAAAATAATGATTTAAGATAAAATTTTGCAAACCATTTAAATAACGACTTTTTTTTCCTTAACAAAAAGGAACCGATTAGAAATTTCAAAATCTAGTCGCATTTGACATATGAAATAAATGTACTCAATCTAATAAATATTCGATTTTTGGTAATATTTGTCTATGATCGCTATAAATTTGAAATATTACGGAAAACACATTTTGTAATTTTTTGTGGCATGATTGGCGGTTTGAACCTTCAACGGTAATATATTTATAATACAGATTTCATAACTTAACGGCTTGAGTAACAATTAATTAACATATCTGATATGCCATCTTGTGTGCCGGCTAATTAGGGTTAACAAATGTTTTTAGCTTTTTTTAGAAAATTCTAATATTTTAAAAAGGCTTTTTGGTTTGGAATTCGAAACGTCATTGTAAAAAAATGTAATTTTAATTATAATTAATCTGGCTTATTCCCATAAATATATTTTCTGTTACTTTTGAGTATTTTAGTTTTTCTTTTTTCAATACTATTTACAAATTCAACCAGAAAAAAAATAAATTATGTATTAATATTTATTTAGTTATCGCACCTAACGCAAAATGTATCTTAAATAATCATTTTTTAAAATACGTACTTCTGCCGGAGCTAAAATATACGAACATATAACAGATAATGAAGATAATGGCAACATCGCAGGACGCTCTATCGTCTATTAAATGAACGCAAAGTGTATATAGGGACGCTTTATTGGCGGTTAGATGGACGATTTTTATATACACTAGGACGCCTTATTGGCGGGAAATGTGATGGACGCTCCATTGATTATCAAATGTACAATTATCAGTTTTTTCTTGCAAAACATTTTTGAAACATATTACTCATATAGAGTATATTACTTGTATAGGAGAAAAAAAGCTGTTCTTACTGTTTTTTAAAAATCGGACGCTCTATACATGGAGAGTGTAAAGACGCTCTAATGATAGCGGGATGTATATATATATATATATATATATATATATATATATATTATATATATATATATATATATATATATATATATATATTCTTTGTTTCCTTCGATACGATATGCACGATGAAAAACATTGGCAAGGGGGTTTTTGATACATAATGTTTTATATTGTGAATGCTTACTGCTTCATGTCCTTGTGCTGCTAGATTTGCCTGTATGTCATCAGTATCTGTATCATGATGCAGTCCTTTTATGACAAACCTGAATGTTTTTCGCTTTTTGGCCTAAAAGTGTGGTATTGCGTATTAATTTTATCAAGTTCAGTGATCAGTGTTTCAAAATGTTCCGCCTCCAGGACTTGAACTTTTACTGTTTCATAACTAATGGTTTTAATCGTGTATTTATTTCCTGTGGTTTGCTTAATTAGGTCATGAATGTGTTGGGCAACACTTACATTATAGATGGTTATCGGTGGGGGCTTGGGTACATCTTTTGTATTGTTTTCTTGATTATTTGCTTCGTCTTTGCTTTCTTCATTTTCTTCTGTGAGCATACTATACGAGTTTTTTGTTTCTAGTGGCTTTTGCAGCAAATAATCACTTAATTTTGTTTGTTTCCTGGATATTTCCACTTCGGGACTTCTTATTCTGTTTTTATTTGTTACTGACTCCCATTTATCTTCAGATTCGGAGTTAGGAATTGCTTCTTCATTCATGTATTGAATTACCTGTGGACTTTGTGGATTTTGATATACTAAGTGTGGGGGAAGAGGTAAAGGATTTGGTAGTGAAAAACATTGTGAATTGGCTGCATTTGAGTAGATGAGCCTGGCATTTGCTGATATATGGGCTGTTGATTTTGATCATGGTCACCCGTTTGGGGCTGTGACATTGACGTAGGAAAAATATTGTTGATAAGACATATTGTTTTCCACCTGATATCCGGATTGATGAGTTGGCACACCATTTTATTTAATATCCCTTTTTAATTCCGCTCCACTGATATGAATTTTTGAATATTTTTTTTATCACTAATTGTCTTCTGATAACTATTTATCGATTCAAAAACACATATTTACTGTTAAAATGTAATAAAAAAATAAAAACTGAATTTGTTTATGAGAACAATTATAATTCAGTAACAGTGAGTATCCAATTCAGTATCCAACCAACCAAATTTACCTGCCACATCGTACCTAACGGGTCATTTCAAGAATAGAAAAGTGTTAGGCAGCAACTAAATTTAGAATAACAGTGGCGTACACTATTTTGTTAAATTGTCATAAAATTTATGTAGGCGCGCGCGCTGAAAGGTTAAAATTATACATAAAATATATCTACCTTCGTCCAAATCCTGTATCGAAAAATGGTTTCCTCGATTTTTCGGGTCGTCGATTTTGCTCACAATGGACAAAACTTCGTCGTCAAGGCCACGAGGAGATTCGCATCTTTGGCTTGTACTAAAATGCCTTGAACTTAAATCTGCGTTCGTAATACGCAACGGACTAGATGGATTCGGTTTACTACGAGTTAGATCTGTAGTCAATGACGTATCTGGAATCTACATAAAAATTCATTAGCCTAATAATTAGTAAGTTTTTTTAAACTTAAAAAGATGGAAGGAAGAACAACGTGTTACCTGGAATCTGTCCAGCTTCAACTTGCTAACCTTATGCCTAATTGGTTCGTGTTTCATGTCTGTAGGAAAACTGAACGGTGATGATGGTTCCTTATGCATGGGTGATGACGGTTGTGAGTGTGAAGGAGTCGTTGATACGGAACCAGATCTGGTTTTCGAGGTGAAATTGGTCAGTGCGCGGGCTATATTGGAATTGAGTGGTTGAGATCGATTGGAAAGCGCTCGGTAGTCCTAGTGATACATAAAGAATTAACGTCAGTGACATTTATGTTATGTTTTTAAACAAAATGCATCTCTCCGAAATTAAAGAATTTGTAGTAAAAAGATGCTGATGTGCACAGCAATAGGTTCTCCCATAGCCTCCGCAATGGAAGGCCAGAACATTTAAATTTGGCAACAGTGAATAGAGGGCATATTAAACTATCTATTTGTGTTTATATATAAAATACAATCTATCAATAGTGATATAAAGAAAAGTTCACAAAAAAAAGAAAAAATATCTAAATTTCATAGTGCTTAAGAAATTTCTTCATATATGAGTTTAATCTTGATTGCCTAACTTTTCTTCTAAAATATTTTTATTATATCACATTTATAAACAAATAAATATTTTGTGTACTAACAACTTTGTGACGAACGTTACGTTTTGACATAAAACGTGACTCTGAAGATTTCATACGTATAATTTGACATGAAATTTAACAGGTTGGATGCCGCTATTTTGTAACTTACTTTTACGTGGTCCCGACTAAGAAATGTAAATAAATATATAAATACGTACCGAACGCTTATAAGCGACGGAGGTACCCGAGCAAAGTACACAGTGACGCTTATAAGCGTCAAAGGCATCCAACCTGTTAAAGTAATATGTGACATGTGACGTGAAATATAACGTGGAACCTGACATTTGACGTGTGACGTGACATTTTACAAGATTTTTTGACACAATACATAACGTTTTCACATCAAACATGACATATTAATATATACGTGGCAACTTGTCATAAAACGTGACGTTTTGACCTTTCTTACATAAAATTTAATGTAAAATGTAACTTGGAACGTAATATTTGATCTCATACGTGACTTTTTGACATAAATACTAAATAAACGTAACAAAAAAAGCACAAACCCTTACTCTGACGGGAGTCGTTTCTGGAGTGGCCTCCATGGCAGCTTCTGGAGGTGAACTGCTTTGTAGAGAGGAAAAATGTGACGAATTTTCCTGAAACGGACACACAAAGTTAAAAAAATTTTGTAATCCTGCGTTGTAGTCAATTATCATCTAAAAGTGTGTACTTACTTTGAACATTACACTTGGACTAAAGAACGAAGGCGATTCCACTGCTGGCATTTGTAGTGTTGCTAAACTTTTCAAATTTTGTAGATGATATGAAGATTCTAAAAGTAATTTTCACAATTTTAAAAACAGTCTCTGATCGTAAATAGAGATTATTAACGAAATATTTGATAACAATTAATGATTTCGATTATTTTAGTACAAAAATCTCGTAAATCTTTTCTTTGATCAAAATTTTTAGATTTTATCTTAGATTAAGAGTAAAGTAAACTTACCGATGGTTGAATTTGAAGTTCCAGACCTAGATCTAAACCCAGACGTGTACTGACACGAATCGTGAGGACATCTGTCGGTTAAATCTAAACTAAACCTTTCGCATTCAACTATCACGTCATGAACCCCCATACTTCTCCACCTGAAAGCGAAATATTATACATTTCGTACGAACACGATAAAAAATGTGCATAGAAAACAAAGCAAAAGGTAACAGAAATCAATTTCTTGCAAGGTTTGGCATTAATCTAGCCTTGGATAAGTACCGTTATTTATGTTATGTCCTATCCGGACAGAGATAGTCCGACTTACTGCAGATATCGTCAACAAAATGCATAATATTATCACTGAACATAGTGGAATCAAAATTCGTAAAATAAAACATGTCAACTGAGCTTGAAACTAACAGTATTATAGACGAAAAAGAATATGAAAAAGATATCCACGTGAAAGTAGAATAGCAATGACTAAAACTACTTTTATGAAAATAACGACATTTCTTTTGTAATAGTCATCTCAGTTTAAAACTAAGACAAAGAATGGTTTAGAGCTATGTTTGGTCCATACTTTTGTATAGTGCAGAAGTGTGGACGCTAAAAGTATCGATCATGAACAAAATTGAAGCATTGGAAATGTGGGTTCATAGACGAATACTGAAGATACCTTGGACACCAAGGAAAACTAATAAAGTACTAAGGAACGTCAACAAAGATAGAGAACTGCTAAAGACTGTTAAACATCGAAAAATGTCTTATCTGGGACATATAGTTGGGACATTGGGAGAAACTTTTGGCACTGATAAAACGCAACTCATGAATTGTTCATCATAGATTCATTTTTACGCCATACAAAGCCATCTAAGAAGGCACCCAATCGCCCGGAAAGGTGATGAAGATTGTTTTCTAGTTTGTCAAGGTAATATTCACATGGATTACTTGAAAAAGGATACAACAATAACGGCGTGTAGTATGCGGTTCTATTGGACCGTTTCGTGACTCAAAACAAGATTTTCTATCAAGACAACGCATTGTTGTCAAAATAAGTGTATCTATCGTTGGTTGCGAGTTATACCTTTTGTATTAATTTCTAAAAACCGGAAGTATTTCCGTTTTGGCAATTCTTTCGTAATAAGTGCTAAATTGGAATCCGTCGTCAGTTTTGTCTGTATATTACAGCTTTTTCAATCTAAGAGTGGAAAAACAGGCGGCCGGACGGTCAAACGGACGGACGAACGAACGAAACGACGGACGAAAAAACGGAACGACATACGAACGAACGGACGGACGAACGAACGGACGGACGAAAGAACGGACGGACGAATATAATAATATATTGAACTTTATCTTCGTATTATTATTTCGAACAAACACCGCCTCCGGTATGTGCTGGATGGATTGAGTAGCTCAGTAAATGCCGGTGCAGGTCCCAAGACCGGATAAAGGAGGAGTGTTGAGGCGATGGGCTAGCAACTCATCCCTTGTCAAAAGAAATAAATGCTAAAAATTTCGGGTTCGGGCTAAAAAAAATGCTAAAAAGAAATAAATGCAATCTGAATCATTTCCAATAACATAAGGGCTTGAACAAGAACCTCTATCTCCGACTTATTTAAAATATATATTTAATCATCGCCAGAGCTGTGGAGGAAACAAGTATTCGGAATGGGAATAGACATAGGCGGTGGTAAATGTCTAACAACTTTATTTTTCGCAGATAATCAGGTAGTCGTAGCAAATGATGAGGAAGACATGGACTACATGTTTAGAAAACTAAAGAAAGAATATGAAAAATGGAGTCTCAATATGAATATGTCAAATACAGAGTATCTTAAAATAGGAGATGACGAAGAAGATCCAGAGTTAGAAATTAGAAACACAACAACATTCAATGAATATAAATATCTTGGATATATAATATCTAAAGAAGGCACTACCAAAAGAGACATTGAAAACAGAACGCAGCAGGAAAAAAAACGGTAAACATTCTAAACTCTCTAATATGGTCTAAAGATATTAGACACGAAACGAAATTGACAATCTATCGAACCTTGGTAGAGCCTATTATGACTTATGGGGCAGATGTTTGGCAGATCACGAAAAAATATAGAAAAAGAATAGAAATAGTAGAAATGGATTTTCTAAGAAGAGCGTGTGGTGTATCAAAAAAAAATGATATCAGGAATGAAGATATTAGGAGGATAAATCTGTATATTCGAGTATAGACAGAATTGAAACAAGACAAATTGTGTGGTATGGTCACTTGAAGCAAGTGAATGAAGATAGATGGCTAAAGAAAGCTTTAAATTACATACCACAACAAAGAAGAAGGGAAGGCCTTCAGTTGCCTGGGAAGAAAATGTACGGCACATAATGAGAGATAGAGTCCATCAAAGAAGACGAATGTATGGACAGAAAACGAAATGCGAGAAGCGGCAGAGACTGTAGGAACCTCGCTTAAGTAATGGATTCGACCGTTACCTGATGGAGATTCATTTTATATAACAATAAAACATTGAAAACTTTTGTTTTCAAAATATCCACAAACAACATAAGAATTTATAATAAATTTTTCAGTGTTTTAATGTTTTACACTAAAAAAAAACATTTATATTCAGCAATATCACGATTTTTTCTTAACTTACCTTTCTGTTGTTACCTCTGTTTCCTCGGTGGCTGTTACTAACGAAGGGTGCATTTTAACAGTGTCTAGCATTGGCTAAAAATATGAAAATTTTAATGTAAACCTAATTTAGAAAATAAGTTATGATAAAAACGTCTATGAACGAAATTAAAAAGCTTCAAACAGGAATCAAGAACATCGAGGAGACGATGTTGGCGCATACAATAGGATAACTATGATAAAAGTGGCGTTCACATAAATAGTTTAGCCTAAACAATTATATAAGAAGTGCTTCACACTTTTATTACAATCGATACGTTAAAAATGATATTTAGAGAAGATATTTGATATCATTTACGTGAAATTTTTTATTGTGCATCATTTACTCCTGTGTAAAACAAACACATCGCATTTTTAAATGTAAATAATTTCATTATTGGATATAATGTTAAATAAAGCAATCGCTTTATTGTTTCAAAAGTTCTATTCGACCAAGAACACTAAGAACTTGATAAAAAGATGGTAGTCGGAAAGTATCAGGTATAGGAAGTAAGACTGGTGAGTCAAAATAACCACGGGCGAAATAGATTGACTTATTTCGATTACTAGGAACAACAATAACACGCCACTAGCGCCAATTTTGAAAAATATGAAAACCTTGTCTTACACATTCCACAAATTCTTACATTCAGAACATCATAGACTTTTACTGCTTTACAAATCTCCTCAAATTTAATATAGACAATACTTGTATTAAATTTCACACAAACTTACCTTTATAGTATGGACAAATACTGGAGTATTCTTATCTTTGTACTGAACCTTGAGATATCCCAGAAAATTGCACGGATACATTCCATATAATCTTAAAAATAGAGCGTACAGGGCGACCTGCATATGTATCAATTGGTCTTCGACAATTTTTCCTGGGTTGCAATTCCAAGATGCTAGACGACTAAAAAAAATACAGCAGTCAACACAGTTTTGTGTAATAAGTTACTAAAATGATATTTTTATATCATATATTCTATATATGTTACCATTAAGGACACAAATGATCACAGAATCTCTAAACTTAGTACATAGAATTATTTTGGTGTAAAGGAAAACCCTAGCGAGTTCAAATCAATAGGTCTTCTTCCCATATTCACATGCATTTATTTTTCTTTGAGGAAAACTACTAGAGACTGTAAGATTGGTACAGGTATATGTTCCTCTAACTCTTGAAGGGAAAAGTCTAGAAGCTTGAAACTAGATAAATAAGTTCGTCTTGGTGTAAGGACGAGCCCTATTGAATTATGATCTACAGGTCTTCTTCTCATATTCTCTAAAGGGGTTTCATCCAAGTATTTAGTAGCTTGAGTCATGTTTACCTAGTAACAAAACACTGATGATGGGCTTTTTAGCCCGAAAACGTTCTGTGATGTAGCCCGAAAGGGATTTTGAAATTATATACTTTTATAAAGGATTTTAAATAAACTTTTCTGATATTAAAGTAATAGTTGTTTGTGAGTTTTTGATAAATAATAAACTTGTGTCACAAATGCACACATTACTTGTTTCTGTAATGTTTTAATACGAATAGAGTGTGGTTTTTATGTATCAAACTTGAGATACTCACCTGAAAATGTCAAAAATATCCCTTAAGTAATTCCCCATGGCCGAGGGAATCATTGGCAACAACACTATTAAAACGAGAAGGGCGCTTATCAATGGCAAAAGTTCCACTTCATTCTAGAAAGACATTATAAATATAAACAAAACAGTAACGTCTATTTCAGCCTCATTTCAAGAATTACAATAAGAATATACATTATTAAATAGAATTTAAAATACACTCAGGTGCAAAAAAATCTATCTATTCCTTATTGCTTATTTATTTGAAGTTGTATAATTTTAGAGACATTAAATTACATATGTAAATTTATGTGTACCCTCGTATACGAGAAATAAAATAATATTTTTAATATTGCTTTTTATATTTCTTAAAACAAATTGGTATTTCAGGTTTTTGTCAAAAAGGGTCTGAAGCAAGTAGATATTTATTGAATGTTGTTTTTAATTCGAACCATACTAGTGTAGTGATTTTATTTTCAAAACGTGTTATATTTTTATTTAATTATCCTTCCTAGATGTCTCTAACTCCGACAGATGTTGCAAGGGCGGTGACTTTAGTTCAAGATGGTCGTAGCCAATATTATGCAGTTAAAATGTTGGGTGTTAGTCGATCTTCGGTTCAAAGAGCAGTTCGGCGTTTTAGCGACAACGGTAACTTCACAAGAAGACCAGGATCAGGTCATAGAAGGGTAACATCCGAAAAAGATGATCGATTTCTGCTCTCATCATGTTAGAGAAATCAGCATCTAACTTCAGTTGAACTGGCAAATCGTCTGGGCGAGAGAAATGTGTATGTAAGCAGATGGACAGTTCGTCGAATACTTGTAGAAGGTCCAGATTAGACCCATTATTATCCAGAAGGCCAGCCCTATCTCCAATACTATCCATAGAACATCGCAGAGCTCGCCTTGCTTTTGCAAGAGAACATGAAAACTGGAGTGATGCAAATTGGAGCAATGTATTGTTCTCAGAGGAGTCCAGATTTTGTCTAAGGTCACCAGACGGCCGAGAAAGGGTGTGGAGAAGACACAGAGAGCGATATTTTCAATGTAATATTGCGGAAAGAATAATTTATCGGGAGGGAGCCGTTATGGTTTGGGCTGGTATCAGTTCAGAAGCCTATACTGATTTAGTTATTGTAGATAGAGGTTCTATGGCTGGCAAAATACATAACAAGTATTTTAGATTAGCATGTGGTACCTTTGCTCCTTTCATTGGACCTAATTTTATTTTTATGGACCACAACGCGAGCCCTCACTGTGCTAGAATCCTCAACCAATATATAGAGGAGGTGGGAATTGTCCGTATGAACTGGCCAGCTTGCAGTCCCGATCTCAATACCATAGAACATCTATGGGATATGATGGGAAGACGTCTTCGAGCACGAGTACCCCGTCAAAACAACTTGGCTGAACTTACAGCGGCTTGTCCAGAAATATGGGACCGATTGGATCAATTTGATATCCAAAGTTAATTACCTCAATGCCTAGATGTGTAGAGGCTGTTATAGGGGCCCGGGGGGAAACACTAGATATTGATTTATTATCAATGTTTTTTTTAATTTCAGAAAGTTTTGAATATTCTTGTATTTTTGAGTTTTGGCGTATGTCTCTATAAATAAATGATTTTTTTGGATAATCTGTTAAAATTATTTTAATCTAACATATACTTTTACATATATAGTTAATTTAAAACTAATATCTTCAAACATTTTCTTTTTTCTGCAAATAATACCCATGGATCGATTTTTTTGCACCTGAGTGTAATAATAATAAGAATTTTCAAAACATTCATTGTCTAGAAATGAAATTTTGTACCTTGGGAGAAAAAATGTACCCAACAGGGTACATTTATACTCAAACTACAATACTGAATATTAAATTTAGATGTTTGCATATAGAATGGTTCTTATTGATTGAGATCACTGACAATTATTTGTAGTTTAAGTATATATAAAAATAAATATTTAAACTGTGACTTACTCTGAGTAATTTTAGTAGATCCCTAAGGAGAATATGTTCTTGCAGTTTGTACAGCCAAGTCGGTTGTCTACGAGCCACATATCCGAAAAGTGTCAGAGCCTGAACTTTGATCTCTACTTTTGGACCTTTCATTGAATCTGATAACCTGAAAAAACAGTATAAAGATTTTTCCTGGTAATCTATCTTTGTAGATAATATAAAAGTGATCTCAAGCTAAAAGTATGATTCAAATGCATGTTACTACAATTATTTTTACACAATGTACTCATTTTACTCAAGATAATTTTACACAGAAGTCATTCCAGTAAACCCAAGATGAATATTCTGCCACGACAAACCAGATATATTCAATTGTTCAACAATGATTAATATAGGGTAAATGATTGGCAAAATCACATCCAATAGACACCAGGTTCCCCACTGTGATTCACTGGAGAAGACCAAATTCGAATTATAGTATATTTTTCAAAATTGTATTAATTTTATCATAAGGAAACAAGTTTATGTCATCAAGCAATATTGTGAGGTAAGTTTATGAGTTGCAAACAAGATTTTGAAGCAAATAAATGTCACTAGAATAATATTTACTAGAGGTATGGTTTGAACATCTACAAATAAAATTCATAAAAATAACAAAGAATGACAATGTTAATGTTTTAGGCGTCTTCAATGCCAAATTGAGAAGAAAAAGCAAACGTTGTTAGAGAATTCAGTAGGGGGCAGTACATAATGAAAAAAGAAAAATAATTGTTAATTAGATGAAAGCTTTTTTTGGTATAAAGACATTGATGTTGTTTTGTTTGAGTGACTGACAGTGAAAAACTTGTGACAGTGCATATTGAATGCTTTGCAATTGAAGAAAATGTTGTGATGCTGCTTTTCATGTAAAATTGCCAATAAAGTGTGTGACACAGGTGTCCAAAATCGTAATCAAATATTTAAAGAATAAAAACATATCATGTCCAGAATGGCCAAAAAGTTACAGGATCTTAGTCCCAGTGAAAATCTGTGGACTAGTGTAAATGTTATTCTTTGTAAAATATATTAGACAACAAAAACAAAACTGATTGAGACTGTAATCCAGATATATTTTCCAAACCAGTATCAGAAAAACTGGAAAAAAAACTTGATTACTATGCCAAAATGTGTATAAGTTCTTATTAATTTTTTTTATTTTCTCCTTTTTTTACTAATAAATATTGTGTGCTTCAAATGATCACTTAAATATCTTAACATTAATTCACAGAATGTTGTAGATATAGATATATATAAAAAAAATAACTTTAGAATGATTTTAACATGTTAAAATAATAAAAAACGATTTTTCTAGATGTGCTAAAGATTGTTTAAGAATATAAATGAAACAAAAAAGGTTTTTCATACCTATCAAACAAATATATATGGTGGGGTTCCTTGATATTGACCAAAATTTCCATAGCTCGAGGCGAGCTGGTGCTTAAATAGTATTCGTACAATCCATTTAAGAGCCATGGTTCATTAACTGTAAAAAATTAAAACATCTTTAATAACATTCAATTTCAATTAAAAAACTAATTCTAAATTGAATGAAATATAAAAAAACTTATGCTCTATTATATTTTACCTAAATTTAAAGAAAATCGATAACAACAGCTCAAACATTAAGTCATATGTATAAATTGTGAAGTGACATAGTGGTGAGATTCCCACCACCACTGTTTATCAGAACAATTATATATAATTGTTCTGATAAATTTCTGCAGTCAGGTAAATGAGAACTAGTAAGTTGTCGGGAAGAACCGCATTAAGAATTTAAAACAATACATTTCAGCCAATTTAGGAGTCATTATTAAGAGGGATACAGTTCCATTCGAGTTCAGGGTCTCAATCTGCCTACTCCTCAGTATCAAGTCACTAAAATATCTCGATTGTCATTTAGAGCTAGATTTTTTCTACAGAATTTCTACAGTATTTAGCTGGACTATGGAGGTCCCAGTTTTCTAGCAATAAAAGTACAGAAGTAAGAAATATGAAAATTAAAAGATATAGAAGGAGGAAAATAAAGTATGTGATATACAAGTTCTGTATGTTATTAGTTATCCTAATATCACAAATTGTATATTAAATTTTTTTCATGAACAAAACAACTAATTTTTCAGACTAAAACCCTATTATCAAAGTAAATAAACAATTCAAATAGTATTTAGTTGTAAAAAAGTGAACCAATTAAAGATAAAGATATTTAATGATTAGTAAATATTAAAGTAAATAAAGGTTTGATGTTACATCAGTTTTTTAAAAGCCAAACATGTTTTTTTCAGCTTGACATACAGCAAACTCTTAGATTATTGCATCATCTAAAAATGCTAATATATTCATAAAGAAACATGGAAAATATAAGCATGTAGAATATCTATAAAAAACAAATATTAATCTTTTGTTTACTGTACATTATTTCTGTTAAAAAAATAGAAAACAAACACTTGAGAAAAAAAGGTTCTGAAACTGTTTTTGTGGCATATGTTTCAGTTAAATACATCTTGTATTTATGGTGGGCTAAATCACAATTGAATATAATAAAATTAATAACATTTGTTTTGATTTCAAAAAAATTATAAAAAAACAAGTAGTTATTGTACTGTACACAACTGTAATCATTGACAAAATTCAATTAGGTGAGAAAATCCAAGAATTAGTCACAAATGGACCATACCCAAAACCCAACCAAATCCTTTTCTCAAAAATATACAAAGCCAACATATACCTTAGATCAATTTGTCGCTACATGGGATACTTACAGCACAGTGTCAAAGTTCCTCCTAGATATAATACAACCATTAGCACATAACACCATACCATTCAAAGAATTCACAGCAATTTCTGTCAGTTTAGATATTACCAGCTTTTTCACAAATATATGCCTGCCAAAAACTTAAAAATAATAAGAACTGAACTAGAGGGGGATGATACATTGTCAAATTGGCTGAAACACAGTGCCAATTAATAAACAACTACAGGTTAAAACAAATCAGTGTTTTATAATAATCTTTTTTGAAAATGACTTCTGGATTAGAGTTCAAAACATCAGAAACAAGATTCATATTAAAATCAATTAGGATTTAATCCCAATACGATATCTAATTCAGAACAAAACATATGAAAGTACAGACATATTATTAAAAAAACTTGTACAGAAATAAAACCAGTAAGACTTATTTTACACTAGAAATCAGACATATGTAGCTCAAAAATAAACAAAAAATATAATGAACATACAGAAATAAAGATTCAGAAAGAACAAGTGACCTCAATTATGGATTCTAAGCAAAAATGTTGATAAAATCTCATATAAACAGAAAGTTGATATCTTGTAAACTACCACTTAAAAATGAAAGAGGAAGATAGTCTTAAAGTGTCAAAGAGAAATCTATAGCATTCTCAAACCACATAAAAATACATATACCCAGAACCATACAATTGAAGCCGTTAAAGAAGATATTAGCTTCAACTACAAAAAGATCATTCCAGGGAGATTCCTAACAAAAACATGAAGACTGTATTCTCATCAAGGAAGAAATTAAGATCCATATAAAATATAAAGACTGTCTAAAAATGTGCCTTAAACATCAATATATTTAGCATTGTATAAATCCCTCCCATACTTTTAAATCATAAAGTGTTTCTTATTGCTCAAAGTCAAATCCTAATACTGTTATACATATCATATAGTTATTGTGATATAATGTCATAAATATGCTTATAGTTTTGTGAATACAGAGCCAAATTGAACTTATAGTCTATTGAGCCTAAATATAGCCTAACATAACCTTGGGAATTCTTACAAAAAAAGGGATATTGATAAACATGAAAAATGTTTATTATTCCTCAATAAATTCATCTTTTACTTCCATATTTTCATTCATAAAATTATTAAATTTTGTAAATACCTATACACTACATCCATTACAGTGTTTTTAAAACAAAAAACTGTTTAAAGTATACACACTTTTTTGATTGAAATATTCTCAACAAAAACTAGTTCTTTTTCAACATGTTAGGCAGAGTTTATTAAAAATCAGTATAAAAAATGGTACTTATCTAAATTTTAAGCAATCAGTAAGAAAAATTTCAATGGATTCTTCTTATATCTACACATATATCTATGTATTTAATTAGTTGAAAAAAATGCTCCTACCTTTTATGAAGAGTTCTCGAAGTTTTTCCTTGGCATCCTCGACGGCTTTTTTGTCATTAGATTCTAGGTTTTCAAAAAGATCAGTCATGTTGTATAAAAAGGTGAGGAAAAAGACATGAATTTTAAATGGGCTAATAAACAGGTCTCATTTTATTAAACTGTGGGTACTTGCAGAGTAGTCTGAAATATTAAAATTTATCAAATGTAGAAGTATGACAGTAATTGGTTTTAACAGAATTGTAGATGCGTTTATTAGAATTGTATTTTAATAGAAATTACCTTAAATGTGAATTTTTAGAAAAAGTCAAGGTTCTGGCATTTGGCTCTTGACAGCTGACGCTGACATCTGATTTATAATCGAGTATTTTCAAGGATGGTTAAAAGAATCGATTAAATCTTTATTTAATCGATGGTTTCATCATCGGCAAATTAATCGAACATTAGAAGTAATATTGGTTGCAATGAATGATTTTGAAAATTCAGATTAATCTTATTTTATCACTTTGTATCTATTTGTGGCTTATAGTAGGGGTAATTGCGAATATATGTACAAAAAGTTCAAATCGTTCTTATAAAATTCTTTATTATAAAAAATAACATTAACTCTAAATACACATTACATAATTATTTCACTGGTACAAACTGAACAAGTCTCTTGATTTTACGCAACATCGCTTCAACTAGACCTCTATCAGACTCGGTACGGTCCTAAAAATAAAGATAATTGCTTAAATTAAGAAGACACTTCCAATGACGTATAATATATAGACTCGGTGAACGCTTTAAAAAGTGTCCAAAACATGAATACCTTTGTTATTGTTTATTGTTTTGATACGAAGATGCACGAAGTTCATGATTTCTTACGAAGCATCACGAAGTTGATCTTGTGTTTGAAAACATCATGGACGTATGAAAACATTTTCTCCATTTTGTGTGACAAGCAAATTTTATTTTAAATTGTTGAGAGTTATTTACTTACTATTTTAGTAAAATGCCATACTATTTTATCAATATAATTAGTTCTCTTATAGACGGGAGCAAAAAGAAATCATAAATATTTAATTTTAATTAAAAAAAATAATTATTGTCATTAAACATATAAATGAACACGCCGCTGTTGTGATAAACATACCTTCAACCTTGAGCCGAGATCTTTCGGACACTCGATTCTATAGCGAGAATAGGGGACTGCGTAGTCTATATATTATACGTCATTGGACACTTCGAATAACTTAACCTAACATAATCTTCGTCTGTATTTTCCTACGGTCCTTTACCCTCTTGTACACAGTTAGGTATCAATCTACATGAACAACATAAAAAACACTCATACCCATACGAAAACTTCATTATTACACAAATATTATTTGATTTTAGTGACTAAATTGATCAAAAACTTACTTGTGCGGTATCCAACAGCTGTTTCGTGAAGCTGTCGTTAAATAATGACACCAAACCATGTTTTAAACTGCTAATGACATCCGTAGATACTTTCCAAGTGGCCTCGGACGCTGATGCAAGAGTAGCTGGAAATAAAAATTAATAACATTAAATTTACATCATCTATTAGCTTATAAATATAGACGACAATAATTACGACGTAAGGTAAAAGTTAAGTAGTATTCCGAGGAGCTCTCAGCATTGAGACTACGATGAAATAGACCAGTGAAAAAGAGAAGTGAACAGAAATTAAAAAAACAGGTACAGCATAATTTTTTCACCACCAGATGAGAAGATTCCGTAATAGTGGTATTGTCCAGTGGAAAAACCATCAACAACAGACATTCCGGATCAATAAATGGTTGGATGGACTCTATTATCAACTAAAAGTCCTGTGGAGGCCAGACGAAGTCTTCTTTATAGAGTAATTTAATCCACCACCTCTCCTAATAGTAACAACCCAAGAACGACCAAAAAAAAGAAGAAGAGGGCAATAAATTGTCAACATATAACAATTCAAATCATTGACAACTAAATTTTTATCATATTTTTTGACATTTCATAGACAAATCTACCAAAATTCTAGTATCATATTAAGAAATATACAATTTAACATCTTCAGAAGATGTTACAACAATTTCAAAATTAATCAAGTCTAGTTAAGTAAGAGGAACAATGAATAAAGTAATTTACAGTATCAAACGTGAACAAACCCCGGAAAGTTGCTATACACCAGACAATAATTCTCGAGAATTTCAAAAGGCACACGGTTTATTGAACAAAAGACTTGAAAGGGGACGATGATAAACAAAACAGATTCCAAAAAAAGCGGGAATTGTGCTATATCAGAAATCAAAATGATCCGAATGGAAATGCCGAAGTTGGGATCTGAACATGCTGTCGTACAAATAAAACAGCTAAAGCCAGTACTCAGGAGGGACGAGAATGAAGAAAATCACAAGGTTAGTGTTTTAGTATGCGTTTACCTTCTTTTTTTCTTCATTCATATTAATATTTTGTAGGTAAATTCTGTAATACCAACACCCAAATTCGATTCGTTAATATCTGAAGTACGAGAAACCTCGAGGAAATTAAAACAAATTAGAAAAATACTGCAAGAAAGACATGAATCGAACATCGAAACCAAACAACAGTTATTTCCAAACCCTCACTCAAGGGGAAAATATCCATTTAACCTGAATACCGTATATAAAAACTCCAACGAGATAAACAAAGAATGTTTAGCAAGAGAAAATAAATATGCAGATCGAGACATCAAAGTTATATATAAAAATTTATTTATAGAAGTACAAGAAAGTCTTCAAGAAATCCCCGAAGAAGATCTAAACAAATTAATAACAAAAACTTCCGTTGTAAGCGACAGCAACAATCCTGTAATAAGAAATGAATTGAACACAATAGATAACTATACAAAAAACGAAGAAATTTCACCAGGGCATCAAAAAGTTAACACAGCTAAAAATGTAACTAAAGCGACACAAAAGAAAGATTTGGATCCCTTCCTTCGTAATGAATCTCCCCCGGAAGGAAAAAACCGCAAAACACCAGCAATAGAACCACAACCAAACATCAACAACATAAGATATGAACTAAAAAACATGAACTTGGTGAAAAAGAAACCTAACCTAGAGAAAAACAAAAAAATATTAAAATTCGAAGACAAAACTATCAATAGACATTGTAAACCACAACGGAACAAAAATTTGAAGCACAGAATATGCCAAGAAAATATACCCTTGTATCATTTCAATAATATTAAAGCGATACTATGTGGAAAACTGAGGAAAAACATTTCCAATCGTTTCATCGAAAATTATTCAGATGGACCAGATAAGAAAATAATGGACAGAGAAATGTGCGAAAATTTTAAGCCTATTTGGAAAATACCGAACAAATAAACAGTGCCATAGTCTCTTCTAATGTAAAATAAAAATGTTTCTGTTGATATTCTATTTTTATGATATTCTTCTTTTGGACTTTTATATTCTCACATCAATCCACAGTTTATAGACATAAATAAACCTACTAAGGGGATAAAATATTTGTTGAATTGGCAAAAATTGGTTCTAGAGAATGTTTCTGAGCAACAATTTATTCTGTAGGATTAATAAATAACTTGCTAAAGACGTAAGTTGATTTTCCTAAGAGGAACAATAATTCTAAATGACAAATTGTTGTTCCCTATAAGGAAAAACAATTATTAAGAGATACAATGTACATAATGTATACTTGAGAATCAAATTTGTAGGCAGTAAATTCTCCAAACTGTGAATGCGATACAGCAACAAGATCGTTGCCAGTTTGTAATGATAGATATTCTAGCAATTTATAATTTAATCATTGACATGCAGCAAAATTATCATATTAATGATCGTTTTGTATTTGTTAAGGTATATAATAAAATGTATTTTTTTTTGTGTGTGTTTTGGCTTGGACAATTGTCATTCAGCCAGTCTCAATCAAGATAAGTTTATTAATGTAGTGTGTGTGTGTGTTTGTGTGTGTAGAGTAATTGTCTTGATACTTAGCAAAGTCGACGTCATTGTCTTTGCTAAGAGACGCTAATTGTATCCGAACGTCTGCGGTCCCTCCGATGTGTACCGATCACACAAGGATAGAAATTATTTTCATTTATTAATTTTTTTAATAAACGAAAATTTCCACCCAGGTGGGATTCGAACTCACGACCTTTATATTTAAAGGCAGGCGCTCTTACCACTGAGCCACAGAGGGGATAAAATGTATTTAGTAACATCAATATTTATGTATATTATATTTATATACAATACTTATATATAGAAAACAAGTACGATAATATTCTTTGTAAAAGTCATACATGACAACATTGCGTTCTAGGACCGGTAGAAAGGAATAGTAGATCAACGTTGTCATAATATAGAGAGAGATAAATTGTTCATTGACTTCCTAGCTTAGCATTCACTAGCGTATCGTTCACACTGTTGCAGTGACATTTAAAAATTAATCTTAATATAATATGATGTGAGACTTATATTTAACTTTGAAGTGTATACTTCTTATCACAAAAAAACACTTACTTTCAAATTCCATAATTTTGTACAAAACATATGAGACAAAGAAACTTTCTATGACATTTAATGACAAACTATAATTTTTTTTAATGACATTTTTTGTTTGTTACAAAAATTAATCATCAAAAAGGACAGGTAGAGAGATTTACCCTGCTGTTATTTCAATGAAAGGTTTCTTTTCATTGGAATTACTTATATTTTAAATATACTAATTTACATAATTAGGAAAATCCAATTCTGAACTTGCCGATTACATTAAGTGAACTTTTACTTTTAGTGCTAAAATAGCCAAACACACAAAAAAGAAAGCAATAACACCATCTTTCCGAACAAATAACAACCTAGGCAAATATATCAAAAACAACAAGAGCCAAAATAAAAAAACTTACACAGTGGTGTGTACAAACTTAAATGTGGCGACTGCCCAAAAACTTACATCGGTCAAACTGGTAGAAACTTTAATAAACGAATAGCAGAACATAAAAGGGCTTTTAATAATAGAAAAACAGATTCTACTTAGGCACTTCACCTTTTAGATCACAATCATTCTTTTAATGACGAATTTGAAATCCTTCACATTCAAAACAAAGGCCTTAGCTATCCTTGTCAGAATCTATGGAAATCAACAAATTAAAAAACACAGATATAATTCTGAATGACCAACTTGAGACAAACAGTTCTCCCCTCCTCAACCTATTCCATTAGAGACTATAAAATGTAAATGCATGCCAAAAATAGATCACTTGAGAAAGGCAATCAGTCGAAACAGTTGCAGTGATAAGAGATTAAAATAAATTTTGTGGAA